TCTAGCCACCACGGTTTTTTTTAGTTGGGCGTCAAATGAAGTGAGACTTAGGTAGTATGAAATGAAATAATAAGTCGAATAACTGATATTTTTTTAACAAACACAAAATTTTGCAATGTATGTAATATTTGCTTCCTTAATTGTCAGAATTTTATTTTACCGAAATTGCAGTTTCAAAAACATATCGTACCTTTAAACTTTAAAACAACATAACTGATACAATAGTAGAACCATTTTCTATTTGATGTAAAATAGAGGTACGTAATTTAGATTTAATGATGTACGAGATCATAAAAATATATGGATATTCTATTCTCTGCGATTATAAAAGTTCTTCTATCTAATGAACTGCACCGCTTTTTCATTAAAGCAATAAAAAATATTGATACACTATAAATACTTACACTCACTTCCTGTACAAATACATCTGTAACCGTTGACCTTGTTTCTGCGTACAACATTACTAAGACATGGGTAAACATCGCAAGGTGAATCTTAAATTTACATAGAAGTGTTATCATTTATCTGCAAAACTCGCGATTGATATAAACGGACAGATAGGGTCGGTCTAGAGCAAAGCTATACGTCAAAGAAGATAATTAAAATGTTTCCATTGTGAGCTTTCCATTTCTAATAAGAACATCCAATCAGCTACTGCATATAAACTATATATCGCCTGGTTGGTGCTATATTTTAGGGTTACAGTTTTCCAGCTCTTTACAATGACGCTATTGAAACAAGGGTTCCCAGTAGTAAATTGTAGTCATCACTTCTGAAGGTATACAGACACCATCATTATTTATTTGACTGTTGTGGTATATCGTTGTAATAGATGACTCGCCAATTTGTCTTAGCTACAATATCATCTCCTTGTCCTCCTTTTAGGAACAGAGTGGACCTTAGAACTCTTAAGTATATTGTCAGGATTGTGTCTTTTTGCTTTAGTTTTCTAAAATTAAAGTTTTTGCAACGTTTGTCTTATTACAGTAAGTTAGGTCAATATAGAAACAAAAAGGGGGATAGTTTAACATTTCAACTTATTAGTAATACGCAGACAATGCGCTTTACTGAAATAACTGTAGCTTATCAGATGACAGTAAATCTTATTAAAAAAACATCAAAGATACCGTAGATCTCATTGTTAGCCTTATTAGAAAAAAATGTGGTTTTGTGATGTACTTCCCAAGTTGAATAAAATGCTCCCGTGCTTGGCGCAGCTTGATACGACCGCAGAGGTCGAACCATGAACAGTTGGGGCAAATATGGACACTACATTCAAGTTTGATACAGCTCTGAATTTGGGTTGTGATTAAATATTTGACACAGAATAGGTTTCTGACACAGAATGAATGTGGTCTAAGAACTGAAAAATTTGAAATTGGACTTTTACCTATTATGTTCTAATATCCAAAATCTAAATTCATGGTTAGAAACAGTATATCAAAGATCTCCAAGAATTAAATTTTTGATGAAATCAACATTTTTATTATTTTGGACCCTTTGGACCTCAATTAGGATCAATTTGATAACAGGGCACAAAATCCAAAATCTAAATACACGCTTTGATTCAGCATATCTAAGAACCCCATAATTCAATTGTTGTTGAAATCAAACAAAGTTTAATTTAAGACCCGATTTGGACCAACTTGAAAACTGGACCATAAATCAAAAATCTAAATACATGATTAGATTCAGCATATCAAAGAGGCTGAAAGGCCCCTTTGAATCCATATTGTTAAAATCAAACTAAGTTTAATTTTGGACACATTGGACCTTAATATGAAAGAATTTGAAAACCGGTCCCAAAATCAAAAATTTAAATACACGATTAGATTCAGCAAATCAAAGAACCACAAGAATTCAATTTTTGATGAAATCAAACAAAGTTCAATTTTGGACCCTTTGGACCTCAAAGTGGACCAATTTAAAAACGGGGCCCAAAATCCAAAATCAAAATGCTTAGTTAGATTCAGCATATTTAAGAACCCCAAGTATTCAAGACTTTGAATTAAACCACATTGAAATTGGTCAAGAAATAAGCAATTCATACAAACTATAAGAAAAGTATTGTTTTTGGCCCCTTCTTCCTAAACAGTTAGGGACATAACCCCCAAAATCAATCCCAAACTTCCTTGTTTCGGTATGAAACCTTGTGGTAGAATTTTATAGAGATCCGTAGACTAATACTCAAGTTACTGTCCGGAAACCAGAAAATCATAGTTTTTTGGCCCGTTTGTATCCCATGATTCCTAAACGGTTTAGGCCATAACCACCAAAATCAATCCCAACCTTCCTTTTTTTTTTTGGTATGGAACCATTTTGGTACAATTTCAGAGAGATCCATACACTTGTTCACAAGTTATTGTAAAAAAACAAGAAAAATGCCTTGTTGGTCCCTTTTTGGCCCCTAATTCCTAGACAGTGAGGACAATAACCTTCAAAATAAATCCCAATCTTCCTTTCGTGGTATGGAACCTTGTGGTACAATTTCATAGAGATCCATACACTTATTCTCAAGTTATTTTCTGGAAACCAAATGTCTTCGGACGACGACGACGACGACGCTAACAACGTGATAATATTATACGAACGCACAAATTGTATAAAAACTTTGAGGCAATTTTACAAACAAATATAACCGATCCATCTATTATTTCAAATCCGCATGGTAAACATGTTTTTTTTCCAGTGCGTCAGCATAGGTATTATACTAACTTCTAAATAACTATACAATTTGCTGACATTACTGACATTACTGATATGACATTTGAACTCTCGTCGAACTGAGGAATTTATAATTTAGAAATTGAAGTTATATAAAGTTTCCAGTTGCATTTCATGATGATAGCTGGCGTCTTCGTGTTCTTTTAAAAATAGCAACGACAAAAGCTGTGAAGTGCAAAAGATTGATTAAAATAGTGTGCGGACTTTCTTGCATCCACTACGGATGTATATTGATGATCCTGCCTAGAAGTTCCCCTAAACCCACTATATATATATATGTGTGAGGTAGGGACACGTTTAAAAACTAATCCTATCACAGTGCAGTCCTCTTTTATTGAATAAATTATTATCTCCCAAAAAAAAATCGTCTAAAGGTTAGCACCAATACACTAAGTGGGTGTTCCTTGTCCGGGAAATAATGTACCATGGGTCTTAATTGTAGTCTTTTAATTAAGCCATCCATATGTTGGTTTTGTAATTGTCTAATGGGAAATCTTTTGTCCACATTGATCTTCAACTGAAGATCCTTCCCAGTTGATACATCCCCAAACATCTATCCGTACACTTAGAAAAAAAGATACATGATATGCTCAATTGCATTCATGATAAGAGAATACTGCTGCTGGTCGAGTTAAACAACAACAATTTATTTCTGCAATCTAAAGGGACAGACAATTGTTTCGATATCATTCGACTTGGAACAATCCAATGTAATTCTGTATGACAGTAACCAAGTTCTTGTAACACCTGGAAATGACCAGTTTATCAAGTTTTGACCTAAGCTAAGGAGAAAGAGAAAGGATTAAACTTGGAACCAGATGTAAAGCAATAATGGCATTCAATGATAAAATATGAATCCGTGATTATGAACTGAGTTTCACAATGTTTGATATCAATGGTGAAATTCTAAAGAAGATGAATACAAAACTTTACCCCCAGAAATATGCCTAAAAAGAAAATGTGACTTTTATCATTTATCTTCTACTAGAAATAACGTATACATTTTATCACCAGATGGTCAAGAAACGCATACTGAGCTCGCATCCCAAGAGGGAAGATCTGCATGGTATAGCTGTCGACGAATATGACATGTATCTGGCAGATGATGTGACTGTAGATCGGAATAACAGCTACAGAGTATCCCTTTGTGGGAAAATTCATGTTGTGGATTGCTACATGTGTCAGGCAGAAATGCTTTCTTATAATTACGAAACCAAGGAACTGGTTATATAGTCGACTTTACGATATGAGTTTTTCTCATTGTTTAAGGCCGAACGGTTGCCTATAATTGCTTACATCCACTGTATTTGAACTTTGGTGGATAGTGATCTCATTGGCAATCATATAACATCCGTTATTTTTATATTGATGGTAAAAAAAACAATGATATTACTATTTACATTATTAAGATAAAAAGGGTTAGGTTGTTGTTGATTTTGATGAGAAAGATATTTTCTGCTTCAGTACAATCAATACAAAATGGAAAAAATAAAATACCAGAAAGTAATAGCGTTCTTATTTATTGGATGGTGATGTTCCCTTAATTAGAGGCAATAGTAGTTTACAGATGTTTAAACCTCATAAATCGATTAAGAATATAAATATCAAGGTAAACCAACAAACACTGAGAGAATCGCATGAAGATTATAAACGTTGTGCGACCATGGGATAAAAGAGAGGCGAAAAATACCAAAGGGACATTGAAACTTAAACTTCTCCTAATATGCATGTAAAACGTTACTTAAATCAGTTTTGAAAATAGATTCAACGGGAAAATATCTGAACTAAAAAAAAAACTAAACGATTTTTTTTTTACAATTTGTTTTTTACCAGTACCTGTTCATGTCCGAAAGATTAACTATAATTGTTTGTACATGTGAATATGTTTTGCAATGAACGCATGGAATGATTTAGTTTTCTAATATTAATTTAAACTAAAAGCCTTCAGTGATATATTTGTAACTGAATTAATGTATTGCATGTTATGTCAGTCAAATACTCCTGGTCCGTCGGCTTCTCGAACTAAATCAAGATAAGGTGAAAAGAAATATAACAAAAATAACGAACTCCAAGGAAAATTCAAAACGGAAAGTCCCTAATCAAATGGCAAAATCAAAAGCTCAAACACATCAAACGAATGGAAAACAACTGTCATGTGATAATGCTAAATGTACAAACAGGAAACGGATAACACGGACGAGCCTAACCTGTGATTCTACCGAACGACAAAAACAACTTTTGTGTAATGTTGATGTAATTCATTAAACAAAAGTCTATAGAGAAGAAACTTTAAATAGCTTTATTTAATATTTACATGAATAATAAACTGAAATGAAGCCAGTCGTACAAACTTTCAAATAACTTTTACTCATAATGCATACTCGAATTTTATATTATATACAATTAAGTGCTGTGTATATATACAATGCAAAACATTCTAAATGAAAACACATGATCTTCTTCAAACCAATGCTTACTGAACAATATAAGTACAATATCGTTCAACCATTCAATTGGTTTTTTGAAGAAGAATTCAGCACAATGACTTGTGACGAATCTTTACAGTTACGAATTCAAAATTTGCACAGAAAAAATGTGCATCTTTTAAGTCATATACTTATATATATCAAGGAATTTATGATAATGTTGTTTGTGCTGTATTTAGACCCCTCTTCAAAGAAATTTGTTTTACATGCACACGTATGAAAATTGCGGTTTTTATTCAACGCAATCATAGGTTTGAACGTTGTTTTCAATTTAGACTTGTTTATATATATATATATATATATATATATATATATATATATATATATATATATATATATATATAAACTTTAGGGGTCAGGCCTCTGAACTATAATCGACAGAATCAGTCAATACTCTGTCTGAATGTATTCTTTATCATGCTATAATAAAAAGAATAATAAAAGTTATTTGACAGTAACTTTGTTTTTAAGCTACTGGAAGTAGCAAATTCATTTATTTCAAATATAAACAGGTGTCCAGTTTTCTACTCTAAAACGAATTTCGCACATTTGAGCAACAACAATCTTAAGTTGCCCCAACCGACTGAACATTTAAAAGCTATAAACTTGTGTTTTACTTTTCATAAATTAATCATGATTCGATTCCAAAAGTGAATCGAACCAACGAAAAAAAAATGACTGCAGTTATATTTACTATATAACCTCCAACCTGTGTATCATAACAATTGAGATATAGATAGTTTGTCTTACAATAAAAAGATGTGGTATAATTGCCAATGCGACAACTCTCCGCAAGAGACCAAATGACATAGAATTTAACAACTATAGATCACCGTACGGCCTTCAACAATGAGTAAAACCCATACCGCATAGCCAGCTATAAAAGGCCCCGAAATGACAAATGACCAAAAGACACAGAAATTAACAACTATAGATCACCGTACGTCCTTCAACAATGAACAAAACCCATACCGCATGTGTTCACTTAAGGTAACAAAATAAATTAGAAATAGAATAATAGTTAGCATTTAACTCTGATGGCAATAATACAATCACAAATATAAACTTAAAGAAAAATATATTATATTCTATCATACATTGAATTTACCACTTCTAAGAAGTAACTAGGTTGATAAGTTATTGTTATAAATCCTGTTTTCATTTGTCAAAATGAATAAAATAGTGTATATCTCCTGGAAAATTGTCCCGTTAATGCATCTAACAGATTATTATGAAAGAACTATTTGATTTTTGGAGGTGTTTCGGGTTGAAAATTCATTTCACCTGTTGCAAGACTCAATTACTATGTTGACAAGAGAAAATTTATTTCACTTTTCTGCACAATTATTTCCTGTATATTGTTAGGCAGAACATTCATTTTCATTCTGTCAAATTTATCATTTTTTGGTTTTACCAGCCAAAGCCCCTTTCCTAAGAAGATTATAAGTTCCTATATGTATAAATTTATACGCCATTGTCGATTGTCCATTTATGATAACCAATTACGCTTTTGAAAGTCGCACCAGATTCTAAACCCAGGAATTACATATTTTTGTATAGCGAAATAATGACGAAATGCATCCATTGATATACATTAAATCTATCTCTGCCAAAAAATGAGGTTGTTGAATGATTATCTGATTAGACTTTCTTTATGATATGATTCTTTAAGAAATTCCTCAATACTGTGTAAACATACATGTGAAACAGAATTCAATCAATCCATGTGGTTTAGAAGCTTGCATTTTATTTTATGAAAATGGTTGACACAAACTCACAATGATTTTTACCGTCCCTTTATCTAGGTTGGCTCCTTTAAACAGTAGTTAAATATATGAAACAATAATGCTTCTGTAAAACACAATTTCAAGTTTATCACTAATATCTAAAATTAAGAAAAAGAAATAAATAGACAAAAATGTAAAGAACAATTTTTAAATGATTTTATGTCAATCTGTAAATCATAGCCTTTTAATGGAAAACTATTTGTAAATAGAATAACCACTTATAAAACAAGAAAAAGTCAAACACAGTTGAAAATATTGATTTCAAGCTATAAACAATATAATTTTACATTTCAAATTTAGTTCTTTCCAAAGAAAATCTAGCAACATGGCAAACAGCTAACTTACTGTAAATATTTCTGAACATAATTCATCTAGCATAGAATAATTTCTAATAAGGATATGAAAATGTTTGCATTTCTTAAATAAATATTCAAATCAGCTTTCATCTTTGCTGATGTAAGCAGTAACTATTTAGGTATTTCCCAATTCATATGATGATATACAGGGGTGAACAATGGTCTATTAGCATAGCCACACCTGCTATAAACTGTAAACTCTATCAATTACTGGAGCAATATGAAGTATAAACCAACTCAGTATAACCAGTTCATCTACGAGGTATATATAATTTTCTTCTGTAAAGAGGTAAAAGCCAGTAGTCATTGCTGTCATGAATATAGTTCTGTGCTCTGAAATGAAAAAAAAACAAAGGATCTGATCAGAGTGCCATAAAAGCATAATGCCATTTTTTAATTGATGAGAATGTTCTAAGATTATAATTGTTATAAATATTCCTTAATCAACTACTTAAACATATAAGTAAATTTTTTAAAACAAGACTGAACCCGATAAAACTTATCGTCTGCTCAATAAGAAAAATCATTGATATCGAGATCCATTGTGTCACAGTTCTTTTTATGTCCCATTTATGGTCATTATGTTTTTCGGTCTGTGCGTCCGTTCGTTCGTTCGTCCGTCCGTCTGTCCCGCTTCAGGTTAAAGTTTTCGGTCTTTCAGGTTAAAGTTTTTGGTCAAGGTAGTTTTTGATGAAGTTGAAGTTCAATCAACTTGAAACTTAGTACACATGTTACCTATGATATGATCTGTCTGCCAAATTAGAGTTTTGACCCCAATTTCACAGTCCACTGAACATGGAAAATGATAGTGCGAGTGGGGCATCCGTGTACTATGGACACATTTTTGTTTTATTTTTATTTCTACTATTTCTTACTACCTGAAGTTTTTTCCTTTCTATGAAATCTTTCAATCTGTCTGTTGGAATGGATTTATGTCTAGGCTGAGATGAGGCAGTGCTGCAGTACTTCTGTATCCATAAGGACTCTAGGCATTTATGTGCTGTAGGACGACCACTAAATAGAACACAAGAATGTATATTCAATAATATTTCAATTAAAGTTTTTCGACAATATCAAATGTTTATAACTCAATGAATGAAAAATATTAGACGTAGGGTTTTTCTTCTGTTTTCACTTTCCTATTATATTTTAATATCGGCATTGACTTCTTACACAACAGCATGAATACTTAACAAAACAAGAGGTGTGTAGTAGAACAGACAACGCCAGACAATAAACGAAGGACGACAAAAGGAAAAAAAAAGTCAACAAAAGACTACATGGAGACTTGACTGAGGGGGTGTTCTTTGGTGCTCCAGAAAGGTACGTAGATCCTTATGAACTAGTTGATCCGTCATGTTGATCATGGTGAGTACAATATCGGTGATAAGTGTGATTCGGTAATATCACAATCGAAGAAAAGGAGACAGGATTGTTGTTGGTAATGACAATTTGAACATAATCGTAGTCATAGGAACTATCATGACTATATCACTGTGAACTGCTGACTATGTGTTTATATGTTGTATGTTTGCTTTTTTTCTCTTATTATTTTTTTTTTACTTGTATTGTATATGAGGGCCTCAGGGAAGATTAGTAATTGTAACTAACTGTGTTTACCCTCTTTAAATAAAGAATTTATTATTATTATTATTATTATTATTATTATTATTATTATTATTATTATTATTATTATTATGTGTCATAGATCTTCTATAATGGTAACTAACTATTGAAGGCGTCCCTAAATTTCCGTAGGAAGAACCTCAACTTTACCACTTGGAACCCTTGATTTAATAGTATTCTTATTAGTAGCAATCCTTTAGCAAGGAAATTATGATAGGAAATCCAGAGCTCTTAAATAGCGTTTCAATTTGGAGATAAATATCCCATATACAGACGCTACTGGGCTTTTGTTACATAATAATGGGAAGTTTCAAGATATGAGGACTTACCTGTCTTATCCTTTATTTTAAGTTACATGGGATAGATGCGGTCACCATAGTTTTCAAATTTTTAATTATTTAGTTAGCGAAAGACAAAGTTAAAGGATGACATTAGTTTCTTTTCAATCTTTCGGAGAAGCTTCTGTAATACTTTAAGCAATTGTACTCACGTAATACCCCATATAAGATTACTCACCCAATATCTTCTACCAAAATGTCCAGTATGAAAGTCTGTGCCTCATTTGAAATAATACCAAAAAATTCGTCTGGAAAGCTATAATCTATTCTGATAATGTTCGAACATGTTTCCTCTTGGCTATCATCAAGGAAGGGGGATAATCCACTCAGGAGAGCATAAGTCACAACACCTATACTCCTGAAAAATAAAGTATTTAGTTATTACATTTTCTTTTGATTCATGTTGAGTAGAAATAGTTTCGTTACAAATAACAAATATTTTACAAAATCCGAATTAAACGCCAACATACGATGAGATTAAGTGTGCAAACTATACGTGTTTCTTGAATACTGTGAAGTGGTAAACATTCGCAAAGGCTTAATATACCCTAATTTCGCAATAACGATAAAATCGCAAAAGCATCCCAATGCATGATTTTTTAACCATTAGGAAAAATTAGAATACAAGACTATTAGAATAATAAAACCTTGCATACAAGTTTAGCCCTACAAATCATGAAATTTAAACTTCGACAAAATAAACAAAATTAAAGTAACCTCCATCATGTACGCTTGAATAGGCAAAACTATAAACGATGGAAAGCATAAAAACTACAATAATTAAGGTTTATATGTATAACATTGAATTAATAGCTCCCATTTTATAAATTTTTCTTTTGCTGTCACAATGCTCCTCGGATACGTCAATCCTCATCTGAGTAATAAATGCAGCTAAAAGACACATATTTCTTTGATTTATTTTGATACAGTATATCCCAAAATATATTATGAATCATAAACTGCTGTACAAGTAGTAGATGTCACATTATCTTCTTAGAACATGTAAAACGTCTATATAGATATTTTCTATTTAGACAGCACTTCTACTTTTATTGGACTTGAGCGCTCTTAACTAAAAGAAAAGTTGCAAACATATATACCTTTCTACATAAAATCCACGAAAGAGGTAAATCATTAATATAATATATGCAATTGAATATGGCTTTATATGACAAAATTCAAATTGATTCTGAACATAACAGCAGCTCTTACCATATATCCGTCAGCAAACCCACTGGTGTTCCTTTAATTACCTCTGGAGCTAGAAATTCTGGACATTCTCGAAACGGATGCACATAAAAGTTATTGTATATGTGTCTAGCGTCCGTAAAATCACAGAGTTTTAAACGAGTTTCTCCCATAACCATTTCTACCAAAAGGTTTTCAGGCTAAAAATCAAACAAATTCATATCATATGCATTCCAATTGAAGTTAGGTTCATTTAAAATAAAGACATTGATTTGATTTATACAACATCCTCAGTTTGCCCTAATAGATAAAAATCAGAAAAACAATACCCATCTTATTTATATATGCTTTTGTTTTACCTATTTTTTCTGGTGACGATATCCTAAATGAAAATGTATAATCCAATATTGAACATAAATTGAGTACAAAAGTGAACAAACAATAATGAAAAAAACCTCAAAGACATCAGAAAAATTGCTATAGATCTATGTGATGTATAATACTTTGTAGTGTTAAAACCATATATAATGTCGTGGTTTTTAAAACAAATCCGGTGACAGACAAAGATGTCCAATCTTAACTCAACTAAAGCTGGTCTGATGCAGATAAAAAAATTTCTTAAAATGATTTTAACAATTTATGAGTCTAGTCAAGCTAGTCTTATTCAAAGGGTAAACATTTTCATAGAATTCGCGATTAATCAAAACAGTAAATTTCAATACTAAACGAAAGGCATATTTTGATAAATTTCTTCAATGCAAAGTTAGTCGTTAAATACGATGTTTTAAAATCCACGGATACCTTTTTTCTTTCCACCCCCACCTAAAAAAAGTTACATAGATAAAAGTCACATTTTTTATTACCTTGATATCCAGGTGAGCAATCCTACAATTGTGCAAGTACTGAGTTACAGTTAACAATTGTAATATAAACCCTGCTGCTTCATGTTCATCAAAATAAGGCCTTCTACATACAAAATCAAACAAACGACCTAATGGTAACCTGGAACATAAGATAGAATGGTATGAGGAAAAGTAGTTGAAAATCAAAGTAATGACACACTATTTACTCATCAAACATTGATTAAAGTTGCTGAATTTGTTTTAACTTTATGTATTTTCTGTTTTCTATTATTAGCATATCTTTGGTTTACACTGTGTATAACATAATTATTTATAATATATACATGTATGGTCAATTTGTTCATTGTACTTATTTCAACTGAGGTTAGTCATATAAAATGTAACAATCTTTATACAAAACTCATGGCATCACAGCTTCATTTTTGGGTAGGACTACGTTGTGTACATTTCTAAACATTGAATCATTTCATACATTATTATCGATTGCTGAAAATGGGAAATATGAAAGATATAAAAAAACAAATATTTTTGTGAAAATGCATCACGTATATTCAACACGAAAAAAGAACAAAATTTCGTCGATCTTCAAGCTTTGTCTTTCAGATATAGATAAATCAAAAATTGATTTTGGTTTGCTGAGTGCATTTTGAATAAAAAATCACAATCTTTGTACCATTCAGCTCATATATGTTTGATTTGACATTTGATTATGTTCATATTTTCTTTTTGAATCTTCGTTTTAGAGAATTCTTAAATTCAATATGCACATTATGTTTTTGCATCCAAACTTCTTTTAGATATGCATTTAGTTATATTGTGACGTCAACATTTTACAGTTTGTAAGTAAATCATGAACTTTATGATAATAAAATTCCAAATGTCTTTTGCTATTGAAAATTTAATTATAATAAAAAAAAATTAATTGCAAAATACATTGTCTAGAAATAACCTTTGAAATTTTGTATTTGTATCTATGTCCCTTTACATGTGCTACTTACAAAGGCATAATAATGATATATGAAGTTGGTGTCGTATAGACATCAAAAACCGGAATCAGATTCTCGTGTTGCAATGCCTGTAGAGTGTTGTACTCCGTTTCTACATGATCAATGTCTGTAATGCGTTTGTGAATACATTTAGCAGCCATTTCCCGATTCGTGCAGTTTTGAGACACTTTTTTAACAGTTGAAAATCTTCCCCTGCAATCAATAAAAGTAAAACCAAGACTATCGTTTAGTATCGAAACTTAACAGATAATAATATCAAAACTCTGTTTAATCTTTTTCGAGTATAAACAGTCCAAGCAGATTATATATGCACTAAAATATGCTGTTAAAATTATGTTCTATAGAGAACAAAAACACAAATATATACTTTAAATCTAACGCTACCAAGGTTGCCCTCTTTGGACCGATACAAAAACATGTGCTAGAGTTTTTTTTTTTGTACTCAATCCCTCTATAAGAAGGTGGTGATACAACAAGATAAATATAGTCAAAATTACTATACAGTATGATCTTTTCTTTTTGTTGAAGGTCGTACGGGGACATACATCATCGTTCGTTGGTCTGTGTGGGAAAATTTCATTGTCAGTCCTACTACATCTTCTTTGTTCTTACCTTCAAAGTGAAGTTTAACTTTTACAAAAATCATTAAAGACAACAAGTTTATAATTTAGTATACTTGACGATCTCTTCGTTTACAAAAGACACAACAATAGCGCTCGAATGAAAAATTTGAAGACCAAAACAATTCAGAAGTTTAAAAGCATTGCAATCCAAAGACTCATTAAAGCTGTGCAAAGTCTGCCTACGACAATGAATGTTTACGATTGAAAAATCCTAGTAATTCCAATCCATTTCACATGAAAACAGTTGCATAAACCAATCCTGTCCTATCAATAAAAGAACAGAGTTCCAATGTCCCCCGCGTTGTACATATTTTATCTCTCGGGAAGAAAAAACTAAACAGAAAACATGTTTTTAGTTGTTTTGTTTTACTTTTTAATATTATCTTAGAGAGTTGGAGACTTTAGAGCAATTTCTGATATATATAATATTTCCAAGGGGCATAACTCTTTAAAAATTTGTGATTGGCACTGATTTTCAAACTTGTCCTAGACATTGCTGATATAAACCTATGATATAAGTTTCATAAAAATCTGGCCAGAATTGTACACATGAGAGCGCTAACAATGCAATTTTCCATATTATTAATATTTCTAAGGGCCATAACTCTTTTAAAAATTATTGATCGGCACTGATTTTTGAAATCGTCCGAGACATGTTGATATAAACCTACAATATAAGTTTCAAAAAAATCTGGCAAGAATTGTACACATGAAAGGGCTAACGATGCAATTTTCCATAAAATTAATGTTTCCAAGGGGCATAACACTTTTGAAAATTATTGATCGGCACTGATTTTCGAACTCTTCCTTAACATTGCTGATATAAACCTACAATATAAGTTTTATAAAAATCTGGCAAGAATTGTACACATGAGAGCGCTCACGATGGAACTTCTCATATAATTAATGTTTCCACGGGCAAAAAAATTATTCATCGGCACTGATTTTCGAACTCGTCGGAGACATTGCTAATATAAACCTATGATATAAGTTGAATAAAAATCTAGCAAGAATTGTACATGTGAGAGCGCTAACAAGACCGGACGGACGGCCGCACGGATGGAAGGACAGACGGACGGACACCCCGTATTTTTATGTCCACCGCAACGCGCTGCGCGGAGGACAATTAATTCTGCTTTCTATTACTATAAACTGTAAATCTCAGGTCTACAAACAGGAGTAACAGAAACTTATCACAGACATCAGGATTAAAATTGTGCACGCCAATCGCGCGTTTCGTCTACAAAAGACTCACCAGTGACACTCGAGTTAGAAAGTTAGAAAAGGCCAAAGAAAGTGCGAAGTATATCTATATATTCTTTATTCTCACAAACCAAATTACGAAGGTAAGTTGAAGAGCATTGAGGAACAAAAATTCCTAAAGGTTTTGCCAAATCCAGCTAAGGGAAATCCTTAGTATAACTACAAATTCAACATTTTGTTAATTTATAATTATGATAATTCATGTTAACACAGAAGTACTGACTACTGGGTTGGTGATGCTCTTGGAGGGGAAACCTCCACCAGCAGTGGAATTGGCCAAGTGCATGGTTGTAAATAAACTCGTCACAGATACCAGGATTAAAATTTTGTACGTCAGACGAACGTTTACATATTTTCATACCTAGCAATTTCTTCTATTTCTGTGAAATCTTTGGTGTATGTTGATTTCCATGGCGTATTTGTTTCACTTGATCTTTCATTTAATTCTAAAATTACACAATTCATCCCAATTAATAAATACGTCAGTTCAAACTTTTAAAAATTAAACAAACAAAAAACTACCATTACCATTTCCCATGTATTTTTCAATGAAAATCTGTAATAACACGTAACAATCTCTAAATCTCAGTGTTGAAATTCAAGAAAAAGATCTAACGTTTTTTGTATACTTAAAAATAACAAATTGTTACTAACAGATTGTATGTTGAGAAAAATCTATTACTGATTTTGAATGTAAATTATTCTTTTCTACCTAAGGAAATGCCTGTACCAAGTCAGAAATATGACAGTTGTTTTCCATTTGTTTGATGTGTTAGAGCTTCTGATTTTGCCATTTGATAAGGGACTTTCTGTTTTGAATTTTCCTTGGTGTTCGGTATTTTTGTTATTTTACATTTTACGTTGCCCAAAAGATTTCGTCAGTAAATAGTATTGAACCATTGCAAAAGTTGGTAGATTAAGGTCTAACCATTGGATGAAGTTCAATAGATATAGTCAATCTGGTTTAACTATTAGATAAAGATAAACGTTTTCATTAGATAGAGGCAATGTGAGCAACTACATCACAGTGGTATTTAGTATATTATTACAATTTTTACTGGACCGTGTACTCTGAAGCCTACTATTTTTTAACATCGCTCAGCATCACCAAATTCCGTCTAAATTGCATTTGATTTTTCGTTTCTTTAACAAATTATCTATTTTCCAAGATTGTTTTCTATTGTAGTGTTTTGTTTACTTCCAAATAAGAAAGTTGATTCTCACTGAACAATATCACAATAAATGTGCATGTCATATTGACAGCAAAAATATTAAACACATATTTTGATTGTCCTGCTTAAATTTGCTTGTGCATTCCTATACATTTTCTGACCAATCCTATAAATTCGTGTTCCTCAATAAATGCCAACCGTAGAAAATATGAAGTAAGATAGAATTGCTTGGAATGGAATCATTACGCTTGTTGCCGTAAAAGACGAAGAAACGTAATATGTGAATATGCCTAACAAGACAGCCTGACGATAAAACTAAATTGGATAAAAAAATACATGAAGGGAAAATAATGAATATGCTCTTACCCCCTTCAGATGGAATGGTAATAAGTTGCGACGGTGCACTCGGTTCGCTCATACTGATATTATTATTTGAACTGACCCGAAACTGGTATGTCAACCCAGGGGTCAAATCACTTATAAACTGCGATGTGTTTGGAACATATGGAATTGCAGCTTGCCACACGTCAGTTCCTGGAAGAAAAAAATTTCATGGTTTCCATTCATTTATTGTTTTTTTTTTCTATTTGCTTATGTAATCTTCTCATATAATAAATAATGTGTTTGATGTGTTCTTATATATCATGTTAGCCTGGTTATCATATAGTTTTCTTGTCTGCCAATACGTATAAAACATATATCAATAATCACTTATACCTAATATATTAATCACTGTTATAGAGATACATATATATTAAAATGTTGCATGTTTCTTACGTTGCATGTTTCAACACTTTCGTGTAAGTCTTGAAATTATAAAGAATGAAAATAAGAAATTATGTCTTTAATGGATCAATTTACTTACCATTTTCTTTCAGTTCGATAGTATATCCATGTATTTGAGAATTGCTGCTATGGGCTATCCATTCTAAATGCACAGACGTTCCCACTTGACTACGTATCACAGGTCTTGATGGAGGAAGTGGACGGTCTACAACGACGAATACATATGATGATAAATAGCTCTAAATCAGATTTACTTATTGATATCTGTAGTTGCATTGCCAGAGATATTTCCCATTCCCTTATCCAAATTTGGAAATTTTGACTGAATTTGGATCGGTATGGCATGTGATGAAAGCATAACAGGAGACGTTTACGCTTACGACGTATCCGTTCTCGCTCGTTTTGGAGTTCATGTGATTTCTTCAGTTTTTTTGTTAACATAGGTAAACTACTTTTGACTTTAGTTGATGATTTTAATTTGTAGTACTTTGTTGACAGAAACGAATCTATCAGTAAATGAAGAAATCACTGGTAAAAAGCATAAACAAATGTCCACACTTAATCATATGACAACGTTAAATATAAATTTCCCTAATAGATTTACCACATTTTTAATTCTAATAACTGTTATTTTCATCTATGGATTGCTATATTTCCTCGGATGGAAAAATTGGAAAACAATCCCAGGCAAAAAAAAATCTTTAATGTAAAATTGTTCATGATATAGCCTGTAGGTTTTACGAGTTTTTGTGCTCTTCAAACATTTGACATCTTTATATGTCTCCAGCATTGCTGATGAAGGTTATTCCTGAGAAAAACAGAACTAGTTTCATTAGTTTTCTCCTACTACTTGTTCCTATTCCCGCATTAGACTTGGGAAAAGCTTTCTAGATCATCCAATATGTTTTAGTGTCCTGAAATATACACTATTTATTTTACCTAAGACCGTTAACGTTGCTTTAGTTATCACAGAACCTAGTTCACTTGTAGCTATACAAGCATATTCTCCACTGTCTGCCGGAGTAGCGTTGTGTATCTGGAAAATTAATTTAGTGTATTTTAAATATTGAAAGAGAAGAACATGGATAATATTATTTTGTTACTGTTTTTTCCATCATTTTTTTGTTTTTGTTTATTAATGTGTTCGTCTGATTTTTGATTCATTTGTGTTTTTGTTTCAGTAATGGTAGACATTAACGATCATGTTCTGAGGAAAACACTACAATTTTTCATCCATCTTGAATTTGTGCCAACATAGCAGGTGATATTTCATGTACTTTTAAGTCGGGCGGCAATATTTTGACTGTTCGCATTGACGAAAAAGGAACGCATATTGCACAATTATCCGGGAATGACACATATTCGTGTTATTCTGTTATTCAGAAGACTATTAGAATAAACGAAGTTTACAAAATAAAAAGTATTGAACAGAAACATGAAAAAGTCCTGAATAAATATGATGGTGTGTCCAACAGGACTTTCATATAACTATATGAAAAAGAAACGGATGGTAGTGAATGTATTTGGGACTTCCGTTATACTCAATCAAATACACTTAATTAAAAAATTAAAAAAAAGAGATTTATGCAAGTTGAGAGTGGAATTCCATAGTATTTCTGTTTTACCAGTTAGTTATGAATAAACTCATCATAGATACCAGGATTGAAATTTTGTATTTGCGCCAGACGCGCGTTTCGTCTACAAAAGACTCATCAGTGACGTTCGAATTAAGAGAGACAATATATTTTGGGATAACATCTTTATAAGAGCAGTTGGGACAAGAACGACCACTTCTTGTTTACTCTAATGTGATGTCGTCACATTCATCATAGATAAGCATTAGGACACTATAATCACAGTTTCTGTTGATATTCGTCCGTTCCAAATTGATCCGGTGTTTGCCAAATACAAAATGAAGTCACAAAGTAGTAACCTTACTTTGTAAAACTTATGGAACAGTCTATTTATAAGACATTTATCGGGATTGTCATATCGATATGGTCCAACACTTTATTCATTTGAAAGTTATAAACACTTTGAATATGTTTCCATACCATTCATCACCGTTAACCTATAAAACAATCTGCATCAGAGTTCTCGTACTCTTGTTCAGCATGGAAATACGAAAAAGGGTGAAATTCAAGTAAAACTTTTCCCACTTTCTTTCTATTCTTAAAAAAAGAATTTTCTTCCACCTAACGAAAATTTTAGTTTAGTTCATACATATCCAGTAATAAGAGATGATTTTTCATTTCCTATCGTTAATTATCCATTTTTAGATGGTGACGTTCCCTTGTCACCATCTTACGGTGTTTATATATCTCAACTTGTACGATTCGCTCGTGTATGTAACAATGTTTTAGATTTTAACGAGAGAAATTTATGTATTACTGAAAAATTATTACACCAGGGTTTTCGATATCACAAACTAGTCAAAACATTTACTAAATTTTATCATCGGTATAAGGACATCATTCGTAAATATAGCTCAACATGCAGACTTCTTATACGTTCAGGTATTTCACATCCAATTTTTTATGGAAATATTCTTTATAAAGCACAAAAATGTCAGTATTCACCTCTGAAACTAACAAAACCTTTAAATAGACTTATTAAGAAGGGATATAGTTACGATACTGTTGTCAGGTCATTAAAGATTGCATATTTTGGCGTTAATATTGATTCACTTATAGGGTCTTTGCATCGGCACTAAACACATTTATTTAAAAACCAGTTGTTGGCATGACACGGGTTATGTTCTTCTCATATATGTTATGATGATATGATACTAAACCCCTAACGGGAAGGATTGTGCCTGATATTCATATGATGAAGACATAATCTTTCAATCAGTTTAATTGAAGTCTGGAGCTGGCATGTCAGTTAACTGCTAGTAGTCTGTTGTTATTTATGTATTATTGTCATTTTGTTTATTTTCTTTGGTTACATCTTCTGACATCAGACTCTGACTTCTCTTGAACTGAATTTTAATGTGCGTATTGTTATGCGTTTACTTTTCTACATTGGCTAGAGGTATAGGGGGAGGGTTGAGATCTCATAAACATGTTTAACCCCGCCGCATTTTTGCGCCTGTCCCAAGTCAGGAGCCTCTAGCCTTTGTTAGTCTTGTATTATTTTTAATTTTAGTTTCTTGTGTACAATTTGGAGTTTAGTATGGCGTTCATTATCACTGAACTAGTATATATATTTGTTTAGGGGCCAGCTGAAGGACTCCTCCGGGTGCGGGAATTTCTCGCTGCATTGAAGACCTGTTGGTGACCTTCTGCTGTTGTCTGTTCTATGGTCGGGTTGTTGTCTCTTTGACACATTCCCCATTTCCATTCTCAATTTTATGGGCATATACGCACCTTCAATGTCGCAAATCCATCCTCACCGAAAAATAAATTGATGCGATTATTATTCGTGAGATTGAGGCTATCATTCAGTCTCCATGATATATTAGGTCTTGGTCTTCCACATATTCTACATGTAAGGACAGCTGTGTCTGTTGCTTTAACAACGGCACTGGCCAATGGTTGATGAACAGAAGGTGTCATTTCATACTGAAGGTCGTGGTGTGAAATCTTAAATAAAAAAACTTATATTGAACATATCGGAAATAAAAGAATATGCTCTATACTGATTTTTAGATGGTGTCGAAGAACATACTTGAATAATGTGTTCATTTGATACCTGTTCTTTTGTTGACCTATACTAAAAAATCGTTATGTATAAAATACACCTATAGGTTGCATTTCTGTAAATATCGACAATGCAATTTTCCATAGGAACTCCTTGTACGGCTAAAACTGTACCACTTTTACTATGAAGTTTTGAAAATAGTTATATCCTAGAATGGAAAGTTCATATGCACTACTATTTTTTTCAAAGGTTTAAATATAGGGCTGTGAGGCATATTTTTAACATTTATATGCCCCGAACTTCTAAGAGTTTAAACTTACACTAAAATTCTGTACTACCCCTACCTTGACTTTAGGTCTTCCACAGATTTCAATTTGACCGCTATGCATGTGTATATTTACTGGTAACATTACCAAGTTATGTTTCTACGAGATGAAACATAGAGATCATATCTGAGAACCAGTACACAAACAAAACAAAATATCTATGAATATTATATATCTCCCCAAAAGAGGCATGGTTTGTGACACAGCTGTATTTACAAAGTGCAACCTTTATATATACATACCATAAACATTCCAATCGTTGGACCATCAAATTTAGAAACATAATGTTGTAACGTCAGTGCTTTGTTGCAGTACTTACTTTTCTTCGATATTCCTCGTGTGCTTCTTTCCATGGTAACGGAAGTGTTCTGCTTCTCCTGTCTAGACTATAGAACTGAACCTCGGATGTTCTCCTTTCTGGTCTCAAACCTTGCATTCGGAGCTTAAATAACTGCCATGAACTTTTCCTATTAGATGAATAAGAGCATATAATACTATGATATACACAAACGAACGAATTCTTGATGCGCATGAATTTTGGAAATGCTTTAATCTTGGCTATATCATATCATACCAGCTAGTTGTCCCTAATTCAATAATCAAACGAATTGAAAGTGACAGGGAAATATTTGCGTTACTAGTATATGGCTTGTGTTTTAGCTGGTAAAGATAATACACAAAATTTAATTTGTTTTATCAATGCAGACAACTGATAGAAAACCTTGCAGTCACTTCTGTTTTTAAATAATAAAAAACATATAGGAGGGATGCATTTGAATCATATATCATACAAAATATTGTTATGATAAAAAAAACGGTATAGCAACAACAATCGTCTGCTGAAAAAATATCAAGATTTGCTTGCTTGCAAAAACTCTACTCAATAGAGCAAGGTTAAGATGTGATTTGTGTCAATGAATTCATGTGTTACATGTCTGGATTTTCGAGTTTTCTTTTTCTATCTAAAGAATATTTTATCAAGGACTAATGTTAAAAAATCGTTGATTTCACTCTTCTTATGTATACTATTTCTATTATGTTTATCACTGTCATAAAATGCATTTCTATCGTTCATACCATGAATTCATCAATTTGTCTTAAAAAATAAGACAGACGCAGATAATTTGATGTTTTTCTTATTTTCGTACCGTAAACTTCCCTCTCCATCACGTGGTCCAATGACATATCCAGGCACCCAGCCTTCTGCTGCTGGTGACGTAGCGTTAGCGGGACGATGGACCAAAAACATGTTGTACTGATTGGTATAGATAATTTGTATTATTTCTCCTTTGGATACTGATATCTCGTCTTCCTTGAAAGCCATATAATCACATACTACATTTCCAACATGTATTGTTCCATCAGCAAACTGAAAGATAATGATTAAACTTTAATGTACAAATGTCCATCATGGGAAATGCCAATAAAAGACCCGAGCATTCAGTACTGCTCTGGTCAAGAAGAATACACACATATAATAAGACACTTGAAACAAAACTTGTTCCAGGCCGTTATAATCAGGACAAGAGAGTTATTAACAGAATAGAGTTGAGATCAATTTCCTATATCAAATATATTTTCTAAAACCTCCTGTATTGCACGTATCAGAAATAAGTGTTGTGTGAAATGAAATCCGCATCATGTGTGGGTCGTTGCAGCTATTGTTTGTCTGTTTCTCCACGAGGGTACCTTCCAACAATAGACAGTGCTTTGATACTTTATTTAAAAGACAATACTTTTTTTACTGTAAACATCCTTTTGATGAACTAATCCTGATATCTATGATGAGCGTATATGTAACTTTTCTAAACCTAAGATTGCAAGTCCTCAGGGCAAAGTGGTTGTTTGTTGTCTGTTGCACTGACAAGTTATTTATGTTTGTATCCAGAACTTCTTGTCTCGAGCGTAAATGATGAAGGTTACTCCAGTTACACTGAAATTAGTACCAAAATTTTAGTCTATGATTTTCGAATTTACGTTCCTTCGTAAATTCCGTATGCTTTAAACACCATTTCACTGAAACTTGGGGCTACAAATAAAACTGGACTACAAATAAAAACAAACACTTATCGTATAACGCTTCATGAATAAAATTAATTGAAATGCTTTGTCTATCATCTTTCAAAATCATGCATTGGATCTTAGACTAAGAAAAATTCATGGAGCAGGTTTATTATCAATATTTATTCCATCTGTATCGGGATAATTTTTTAGTTTTCATTCTATTTATTGTATACGTGTACTTGCTAACTTTCAGTATGCATTTGACTTATCAACATGGAAAGACTTCCCATGTGTTTTTTGAGACGTGAATATTTCTGTGTATTAATAAAATTTACAAAGATTTTCTCTCTTAAATCAAAGTTTCAGTTTTTTTTCATGATAAAGCATAGCTCCATGGTTTCCACGCATTCTCTGTAATGAGTTTATTACATATTTTTATTTACTTTTCATGATTATATCAAAATGTGTCAGTGTGATTGATTATCCTCCATTTTTTTCATCCTCTTTTATAGTCGATATGCGGGTCTTGGAAAGTATATGTATCTTCTTTTTGAGGTTGAGTGTAATCATGACACATTTTATACCACTATGTTGGTACTGCTGCTATTTGACTTTAGGTCTCTGAGGGAACCACCCCAGTAACCAGTGCCTTCTTAATGGCATGATTTGAAATTTACACTTTATCTGTGATTTTTTAAATTTCTTAATTATATAATTGTACTAAAACTCAGTTATTAAAAACCTAAGGTTCTAACTCCTTAGGCAAAGTTAACCTTAGATAAATTTGGCAATTCTTTTGATATTTCCTTAGGTCATATAGCTCCTTTCTTATTCAAGTACTTGTACATCCCTGGTTTTCAGCGTTCCTGTTGGGGGTAAAATTAGAAAAGCGCTACAGATGCACCAAATTTATAAAGTGTTATTTTCATCTGCAACTCTTTACGACAAAGTTAAATAAGGTTTTTTTTGTTATTCTGTAAAGGCTACTATGCTTTCAAACTTTTTTTCCATATTTGGTTTTTATTCTTAAGTTTAATGAATTTTTCTTATTCCACAAAACATGTCAGATGCATGGAAATGAGTATCCATTTTTTTTCTTTCAAACTTTTCATATTTATATCACATCTTCTTCCCATGAAAAATTATTTTTATTCAAATGTAAAACTACGTGAATGAAATTATAGTATCATCATAAATTAGACATATATTTTTTGTTCCCATTTATTACACAAGTGTTATGTTGAAATAAATGTTATAACTGCCAACATTTTAAATATCAATGGTGGTTTTAAATATCCATGGTGGTTTTAAATCTTCATAGTGGTTTTAAATTAAGTCGACAGTAGTTTACCGATGTTCAAATCTCGTAAATCAATTTAAAACGAAGACAAATGAAGGTAACAAACATTAACTGAGGGAAATCCATGAACTTCCAAAAGGTGTGTCGACGGGGTAAGTGTCTACTGCTATGCATGCACAGGAACTTATGCATCTGTTATAAATGTTGTAAGTGCTTATAATAAAATACAATAGTTAAGAATGCTTACATGATGTTTTATATCCATCGAATGCCAGTTTTTGATGTATCTAGTTTGTGTAATGAAGGATTTCAAGTGTCAAGACAATCCTTTGATGGAGGAAATCCTCAGTAAATCAGGGAAGTTGGCAGACCTGACTAGTTTTTATGTAGGAGTAACATAATAAATGATATTGGTTGTTAGTGTTACCAATGGAAAATAACATTAAGGTAACATCATCTTTTTGACAAATATGCTTCAATTTTACATCTCAAAATCTTGATATGGAGGTCACAAGTTTTTTTTAATGCATTGACAGAACATGTACTTTACGGTTCACCCTCTACAACCAGAATTCACATAAAACGCTTAAACAGATGCTATAGTCCATGAAAGCCAGGTAATCTTTTCTACTACATATGAAGGGAAAAACAGTATTAATAAAAGAAAGTATGGGGTACATACGAGTAACACCAAATGACACAAAAAATAGAATACATCTAGTATGCATGTACTTGTGAAGATAATCTTATTAATCAAGAATTCGGAGCTACATAGCCTTTCAAGTATTTCTATAGATTCGTACACATGTTGTTCAATTTGATAAATAAAAATAAGAACACTTTGTGATGAATTTGGTTATGATGCTCTTCGATATCGTATCTATTAGTCCTCCCAAACTAGGTTTTGGGAGTATTGGATGAAGGCTTATTTTTCCAGAAACGAGCATACACAATGAAATCAGTATCCTAAAACTCTTATACAGGTAAATAGATGTATCGACTGCTCCCCTTTTTTAAGCAACTTCCATGTACAGTAATGGAAAAGTTCAAAATTACCAACAATGACAGGAACAATGTTTTTGGAGTGGACAATAGTCAATGTATGACTGCATGTTGTGCAGCAGGAAACCCAACAAAACCAAGAGCAAACTCAAGTATTCAGTGGCCATCCCCTATATAATTGTATTTTAATATTTATTCAATCACTAGTGCAAAAGCAGTACATCAAAAGGAGATGACATGGTCAATTTTTGTTTTGCCTTTGATATGCAGTTCAGAAAAAAATGTCAATCAGCAACCATTCAAGAAAGGATGAATTAAAATGAATAACCTTGTTTACTTTTCAGTGATATCATTGTTGTTAATCTTGTCAAAATCTAATACTTTAAATATAGTTTCAGCATCCCTGGTAAAAATGGTCAAAAATAGCAATATTATTCAAAGGACAGCAAACATTTTATACCTTGAAGAAGGGGATATGGATAAATGTATATATTAGAAATTATTCTCAGTCCTGAATGCGACATTAACATTATAAATTTGATGTGAGTCATTTCTCCTGCTGATAAAAGGTACCAATATAATGCTTATATATATAGTCAGTGAAATCTGGCTTATCTAATGATGGTATATATTACAGGGTTCAACGTTAAAACTTTCTTGTGTGTAACTGTCTTGTGTTTCATGTTTATTTATACTGAAGTATTTTATAACATAAAGAAATGTTTTGGCTATTTAAAGGCTAATACAACTACAAGTAAGACAAAAACCTTCAATAGAAACACTTGTTTATTGTCTCGGTTTTTTGACAAGCTATAAATAGCAGTTTGTGAACACTACATATTTTTACATATCAGATGAACACATTTTTGAAACTCATACATAACATACCATATTGTTATCAGTGGTATTGACTAGTTTCCGGGTTTCTTAGATTTTTAAAAAAATGTTTGTTTGTTTGATATCTGACCCTAATTTAAAAATTCCAATAAAATTTAATTGAATTTAGCAATCTAGTTGTGTTTTGCTATTTTTAAAATAAAATTCTCCATTAATCAAAACTGTGATTTCTTTTACACAAATATTTTTGGATTGAAATAATTTTATCTTGTTGATTATCAAACAACTTATGATATTTGAGGCCAAATTATGATGAGAATGCATTCATATAATGTCTATAATCTTACATACATCCATTTTAGGATGAATTCCTGAACCAGTAGTGGATGTGTAAGGTCGTTCATAGTAACTTATTGCTCTAAGTAGGATGGTTAATGAACCAATTTACCACTGAATAAAACTAAATCTAATAAAAATTTATATAATGTTTGAGTAACATTTGCTGAATATTAGTTTTTAAATTAATAATGTCTCAATTTTTTTCTTCTGCATGGTATTGCCTGAAAACTCCCAAATGAAAAATTACATAGAACTCTGCAAGTTCTGCAATAAAAAAATGTATGGTAAGAATTCAAATTTTGAAATATTGTATCCAAGGAAAGATAACTCTATCTAAGCATAACCTTGACAACACCACTGACAACAATACTGCAAGTTGAAATCTTACACACTGTTCTCCTGTTAACAGTTTATTTTTAACACACTCCTACACACTAAATACACATACATACACCTTTTACACACATACACACAAATAAATACACAATAATTTCTACATAACTTTCTAGATCACCTACAATGTCAGAGACTTTATACAAAGTTTTAAATATCACATTTAGTTTTTTTAAAATGTTAAAATTATTGTAAAAAAGATTTTTCTAACAGTCATTTACAAACAAATGTACAAAAACAAACAACCACATGATTATAGGAGTTCTGTTCCAATATCGTTACTCAGATAATTATGTACTCAGAAACCCTAGTTTACTTATTGCAATACCTCAAAATCTAATGGAATAAAAAAAACATGTTTTAGGTAGAGAGGTAACCAGTCTTAAAGATGGATAATGTCTTGACAACATAACCATATATTCTAATAAATCAACTGGCTAACTCTTCAAAAAATATGCCTTTTGTTTAAGAATAAAGAATTTGACCTTGCTACAAACCAAAACCTTCAAATTTGGTATGAAATATTTTTTTAAGCAGCATTTTCGTTTTTTTTCTATAAATAGGCTGCATAAAAAATTTATGATAGTACCATATCAATTTCTGGTTTCAAATTCCATCAAAACCAAGAATTTTGCTTCAACTGACCAAGGGGTGATGAAGTATTAAAGGCACAAACATGGGTTTCTGGGTACGATAATTCAACAAAACAGATTTTTTAAAACTATAAAAATGTTGATAATAACGTTTTGCTATAATTTCTTTTGTCATGGAATTCTAGAGAAATAATCACTTAAATGTGTTACCATTATAATAGTGATGCAAGTGTTGTAATACTTCTACAGATATGGCAACTTTCAGTGTGGTCGAGAAAGATTTAAAAAAAAAAAAAAAAATTCAAATATTTCATAATTTCACAGCATAATTATTACCTTAAAACACTATACAAGTTTGATATACACATCAATTCCTGACTTAAGATATTTGTTTTAGTGAGGTGAGGACCAATTTAGACAAACATTCAAACTGGGATATCAGAGGGTCTGGATGGATGGTTCTTCAATTCCGTATTCTTTAATTTTTGGAGCCATTATTCTCTATTCTTTATTTTTTGGGACTATTTTTCTCTATACTTTATATTTCGCCACATTTTTCGGTAGTATTGATCCATTATTCTCTATTCTGCTAACCCCATCCAGACCCTCGTATAGATCTACAGGATTTTGTAAGCATATGAACATTGCTAATTCACTTCAAAATCAAAGCGTAAAAGCAGGCAACTCACTTTAAGGAAAAAAAAAAAGGAACTAATACTGGATACACAGAGGAATTTTTTGATTGAGCATTTTTAAGAAAATCTGAAAACTGATAAATTAATAATAAAATCATGAAAAACTAAAAAATAATATAACCCTGAAACAGTTCAATGGTTTGAATCATTTTTATTTCTTTAATTTTACCAGAACATTGTTGAAAGATAACATTGAACAAGCTTAAAATTTTCCTATCAATTTCCTATCAATTTCCTACAGAGAATTTTTCTAATGTAACAGTGAGCAGTTTGAATTATTTTATTAAATCTGATATATTAATATTTTGTAATTTTAGCAAAATTATAAAGAAGTCCTATCAAGATACTTAAGTCACGTAATTAGGTATTTTATATTAGATTAATGGGAAGGTTTCAAATTTACCCAAATTTTGTCTATAATTATCTGATTGCATTCATCGCCTACAAATAGAGCATTTAAATTATCAGTCTGATTTCAATAGTAGCTTTAGAGCTGACCAATATCCCCAATTCAAGAAGAATTTATGATTAATACAATGCAAAACCTTAAGTTAAAAGTACTTATACATAATTCATCCTGGAAATGCTATATTGGTTTTTATATGGCCTGTCAAAAGTGAAAATACCACCTTATATTTATTTTATTGCAACTGGTTAAATGTATTTGGATTAAAACAAAGCTACTTGCAAAAGTGAGAGATGATGAAATCAAAATTACCTACGAAACTCCGTTAAATTTACCTATAAACTTATCCAAGAAATCATGTCTCATCAATTCTTGGTTTTTAAGTAGCTTTTCAAAAATCAGAAAATATTCGAACCATGTGAACAGTTGCAAGAAAATATATATACAGTATTAGTTACAGATTATTACTATAAATAATTATTTTGTCTGAATACATCTAGTTAATCTCTGAGTGAATAGAAAATTTCAATTGTTACACAATTTTTGCTGTCCTAGCTAATTCCTACCTAAATACGATATAGCATTATACCCTTTGTCATGATCTAAATACGATATAGCATTATACCCTTTGTCATGATCTAAATACGATATAGCATTATACCCTTTGTCATGATCTAAATACAATATAGCATTATACCCTTTGTCATGATCATATCTAATTAAATGAATATATGGAATGTACATTTATTACAGTATTTGTTGACATTTAGTCCAAATTTTAGGTGTTACCATTTAACTGCTGTATGATATATTCTCTTGTAAATACATGTAAGACATGCCCTTCTTTGTATTTATAATTTTAATAGCATTTCAAAATTACCCAAAACTATTACTTGGAATCATCTTGCTTATTGTTGAAGGCTGTAAAGTGACCTTTAGTTGCTTAAATCTGCTTCAGTTTGATGGTTGTCTCATTGGCGATCAAACCACATCTCCTTAATTTCATATTGACACAATCTTTTTCACAGTCTAGGTATTCTACCAGATCTTACAATCTTAATTCCAAGATTTCATTCATTCCTCTCAATTACAAATATAGTGATAAATGACAAAATAAAGAAGTCTCCAAGAACTAAAGACCAACATACAGATAACATGTATAATGAACACAAAATACAAAACAAACTTTTGTTCAAAGACCATGCTCATGTTGCAGGAAAGAAATGCTATTCAAAAAATATATTTCCTTAACTAGTTTCCCAGTGTCAAAACTTCAAAATTTTGATCTTGTTTTTCCTGAGTTCAACTGGTACTCTTTTTTCAATAGCCCCATTTATTATTCAGGTAAAAGGCAACCTTATGGTATACATGTTCCTGTGTTTGAATCCCTAAAGCTCCATTTTCTGTTAACCTAACCTTACCACTAACAGGGAAAAATGCATGTAACAATTTATATCTCTTTTTGAAGACTCTTTTTTAAACTGCATTTTTGTCATGTTCCCTAAAATTCTGGTTGCCATGGCAACAGCTCAAAATATCTGATATTTCTAAATTTCTACATACATGCTACTATAATAAAGAGGATTTTGGCAGTGGTACAGTGTATTACCAGAATAGTTCTATACTGTGTTAAATGGTAACAGGTTTGTTAAATATTGGTGTTGTTCTTGCTTCCATGCCTTGAATTTTTTTTCCTTTACAAAAATATATAACGATCAATAAAATCAGACGAGTCATGTTTACATTAACCAATTTTTATCCCTCTTTTATCTTGCTATTCAAACTTTCAGTTGACTTTAAAGAAATTATTTCCCTTAAGTATCATGAATTTCTTTTGGAATTATTCACACTGTACTGTAAAAAGTTCTTTCATTCTTATGGTTACATTTTGTGTACCAAATATTTATTTTTTTCAGTTTCTAATTACCAACCCCCAACAATGCTTAAATCCATGATTAAAACTTGAGGTTCACAAAAAAGTACATTCAAAGTATTCTGTGACAAATTTTGTGACAATGGTCTATGCTTGGATGCTTGGAATGTTTCAAAACACATTTCTGAAAGATGAATTGAAAAAGAGTCTATTGCACATAGCTTGCACAAAGAATAAATCAAAAACACTTACAGGGAACATTTCACCTGCATGTTGTTTAAACCAAAAATATTTTGCAAATAAAAATAAAATTGCTCCTTATCACTCTCTGTATAATAAAAACAAGCAATACAAAATAAAATTGGCAGTTATCCCTTCCATTTTTCTGAAGGAAAACAAAAAATCAAAAAATGTAATTCACAGATCTCTTAAAAAAAGGAAGAAGATATATGAGGTCAGATGTCTGATTTTATCAATTTACAAATAATTTCCACAGGAAATTTCAACCATGTGACAAAAAAAATAACATGCCTTGTTAAACATTGACAATAATATCATCTTGCATTGTTAAATTCACGATGCAGAGTATAATTATATATATCCTGTGTCATAATCACTAAAATGTTTCAAGTCAGCACTGCATTTCCATCTACGCTTTAAACACACACTGACGATCATGATCACGATGCTGTCAGACTTACCGATTCATCTTCGTTATTGTCCGACGATGTGTTATGATTTGTGGCGCCATCTGCTGGGCCACCATTATTTATAGAAATCCTAATTTCATCATCTTGTAATAAATCGGGAACTTTATCAGTCTCTGACTTTGATGTAGATGGAGCATCACTTTTTGATTTCTTCAGTGAAGTTTTAAATCCTTCAAAAATGTTTTTCTTTGGTTTTGGGGACACTTCACCCATGAAAGAGGGACTGTTACAAGACGACGTCATAGTTAATTTGGTTAATTTTTCCTGGTCGAATTCTTTGTCTGTTTCAGTAGGAGAATTTGGACATGACAACTTTGAACTTTCACCATGTTCAATATTAATTTTGCCGGGATTGGGCACAGAACGACACCGAGTATATTTTGAGTCCTGTAGTGAACCAGGCGGAGTCTGAGAACGATCTTTTTTAGGATGTGATTGTGACTGAGTTTTCCTGAGTAAACCTTCTCTTGGTGTATGACTTAATTCTGGTGTTGACCTACAAAAAGAATCAAATTCATTATCATTTTTGAACTACTTTAATACTATTTTCATACAAATGGCAAGTTTTTCAACATAAAACAATTGAGAATTAGAACCATGAAAAATTGTGAGAGTAAGTCCCTACATAACTTTATGATTCATTAAAGTAGAATGTAAGAGTATTCTTTGAATTTTTTTCTTTAAAAAAAAAAGGTCATCTGCCCTTTTTTTGCATTCCTATGAGTTCATTACGTTACTATTAGAAAAAAAAACTAAATTTAAAAAAAAATCAAAAAACCATCTACAGCTGTGTATAATACGCATCCCTCTAATGACTATATGTTTTAGGAAAAAAATACAAATGCAGTAAATGTCTCTGTAACATATTCTTGTTACTACTTCATGAACTGCAATCCTGAGCATTCATGATTTAGAAAGGGTATAAGTAAATATTAATATAGTGAGTGTTCAGGAGGATTAAGTTACATATACATAATTTAGAAGCTTTCAAAGTCAGAATGTCTTATAGAAAGATATATAAATGAAGATATGTGAGCAAGTGATTTATGCTTCCTAACTGAACTTTTAAGCTATAACATGTTGTCTACATATAGTGATTTAATTCTCAAAATAGAGATGTAGTCTGAGGAAAGATCATAATATAAACAACTCACAAAAAATAAGAATACGTGTCCATAGGAAACCATGACCCACTCACTTGGGAATGTGCCAGGTAACTTCCTAAGATGTTTTCAAGTTTGTTTGTGTTGTAAGTTGCTGCCTCACTGATGTTTACCCAATATCTCCTTTTATTCATATATAAAGTTATGGACATGATTAAACTTTATACCATTACATTCTATGATATGCTTGTACAGCATTGATTGGGACTGTCACAAGGTTTATTAAAATGTCACTGATTAATTATAAGTGTAACTCAAATTCACAAAATATGCATACTTTCCTTTTCCATTAATAATATTCTATAACCCAATATATATTAAGTATTTTTTTAGTTCCAACCAATGTATAACAACATCTTGCCATTAATTTTAAAGAATTAAGTCAGATTATCAGGATTTTTCATTTTTTTAATGAAAAAATACTGTTCATATTCAATCAGATAGCAATTTTACATATGCTGAATATACTTTCCCTAGAAATTCTTGTATAAACTGCAATATTTTTTACCTCAGAAACTATTCATGTGTTAACATATTTTCTGGCAACAGGTTCAGTATATTATATTAATGCTTCATCTTTTATTATTACAATAGAATTGTAAATTATATTTATACTTCACAAGGAGCTTGGACTTGTTCAAGATAATGTAACAAGCAATTAATGAAAAAATAAATAAATAAAAAAGCAAGTTGAATTTGAATTTTATTAAGCTGTTCTTTTAATTGTGAGGAGCTGATTTTGCTCTGGTATAACAGCTTGATCCAGGTGATTAGTTGTCTTATATTTCATTTATTTTAGTTTTAACACCGAAAATGTATATTTTTATTATTTAATCATATTGATAAATACTAGTATTGACCAATTGGGAGACACAATAGTTTTAGGTGTAAATATGTTCTCTTTGATCCATAGTCGTTTTCAAATAACATTTTGAAGACTAATTTGCATAAGCAAAAGAAGCGTAATAGCAAGAGTAAAGAATGTTCTTAGTGTTTGTAATATAAGGGAGGCAATTCTAGCAAGATTTTAAGTTAGCATGTTATATAGCTGTTGCCATAGTGATGAGTATATATTTGGTATAAACAAACCATTTGTTAACTTTTACTGAAAATAAATAAGCAATGATGCAAAATTAAACTTAAAACACAGAAATGTTGATAAAAGCAAAAGGTAAAATATTTTCTTTCTTTTAAATTGGATCTGGAACTTATCTTTTCAGAACAAATTTGTCAACTTATTATCATTCTTGTGAATAAAACCTATGGTACCATAAATTTTAATATTGAAGACTAAGAAATATGTATTCACCCTTTAAATAATAACTTTATAAAGGTAGATACTGATGTGCATAACCTTTGTTCTGAGAATATGTCCTAATTAAAAGGGAACAAAAAGATAAAACATGTAAATTGATGGATACTTACGTTTCTTTCCTGACTTTATTTTGGTATTCTATAGGTGATTGAAGTGCTACAAAATAATTATTTTGACTGTCAGAGAGTTAAAAATTATATTATATATTGACAATTTGCCTGTGTGTGACTTCCTGACACTAAAACCTGTATATAAAAGTCGTCCACTGGACCCAAGAAAACTGACCTTTGAATTGAGGTCCAAAAGTGCATAGGTATTACTATAGTGTAACAAGACAGGTTTTCGCTGTATAGAGGCAACCTTTAAAGCAGGTTTGACTGAACTCTCAATATTTTCAAAATGCAAATTGAAATATTACTGTAAATTCAAACATTATCACTTGCATTAATGATGTGTTTACTGATCATTCAACTGAAATTGTGATTAAAGATTGGGTTTTCAGTAAATGTTGCATAATAAGGTAGAATTAGAATTTGTGTGCTGCTATAAATTGGATATTTATCCAGTAGCATTTATCAAACTAATAAAGACATGACAAAGTTTTTGATTTTACAGTATCTTTTCCATTGCAATGTTCTTAGGTGTTGTATTTCAGTGGTCCTGGTGCTCTTTTCACAAAAAGATCTCACAACATAACAATCTCAAGTTATTTTGAAATGTTCATGACTTATTAGTACTTTTTATCGTAATATTTTTAAAAATTGATCGCAGTCTCATAAAATTTACCTCACTTTCACATTCCCTATGATTTTTTTCTAATAAATCTTCCCCCTGTAAACTGTTTCTGAAATCCCAACCAAGGTAACTCATATACTACATATTTCATATTTTTCATGTTGGGGGCTTTTTATAGCAGATTATAAGGTATGGGTTTTTCACATTGTTGAAGGCTGTATGGTTTCTGACCAAGTCAACTCATAAAAATACTACAGTTGATTGAGTATGGTCATCTGAACTCCTGACAGTATCTATTCTAAGAATTTGATTACAGTGGCATACAGTAACAATTTTCTGAATCATGATAAAGTTACATGCAAGTCAGTATAATTTTTCATTGTTTATAACATTATGTTTTGTGAAAAGAGCTTATGCAAGTGCATGTATACATGTACATGTATAAGACTTTGATTGATTTTGGAACATTCAAATACGAAATAAAAGAAGAATTTTGGTCTGTTTAAAAATTTTCTTGAATAAACTCTATTTTCAAACAGTTACAGACTTTGCATAGAGATTTTTTTCAACCCAAAATAGGTTAACAGATGTATTGATATTCATTTGTATAAGGTTGATTTCTATCGGACGCAGCTCATATCATAAGAAAAAATTAAAGAGAACTCTTTTGTCATGTCAAGGTCTTTTATAGCTTACTATACAGTATATGGGTTATGCTCATGGTTGAAGATTCTACAGTGCCCTAGTTGTTAAAATGTACATCCTTTGGTCTCTGGTAGATAGATCTCTTTTTTGCAATAATACCTAATCTCCTTATTTTTATATAGGTATATCTATATCATTTACCACATACAAATAAAAGATAAAAACTTTCCACATGTTCTTTTTATTGTGCTCTGAAAATCAAATACATTTTGGCCCCTGGAAACACAATTTACAGACTAATTATTTCTATTTTAGGAAGCAGATATTAGTCTGAAAATTGTGTTTTTCATTTTTATATTATTATTATTCTAAAAAAAATTTTTTTAAATATATTATACGATTGATGTTTTCCAGAAAAAGATATAATCTTGTGTTAAAAAGCCTTTTTTTTCACAGAGTCTTAAGAGAAATGGAGTCTGCCATTAATTTCTGAAATGGTCCTATTTTTACCTCTGAGAAAATCCCCTTGCATATCTAGTAATGACGTAATCCGCAATGTCCACGTATGTTTGACGGCATCACTTGGTGCCTGTATCACAAATTTACAGTCTGAACCGGGAGTTTTGTTTATCAACATAAACCGCAACGGTTCACCTTCCACTTGTTTGGTTAACGCCATATTGTTTACCTGAATAATACAAATATTTGAGTGATGACAAAATTTTAAAAATAAAAAAAAATCAGACACTTATATTCACATATTGGCAATTTTTCATGTCTTAAGAGTTTTTTATTCACATATCATCTTAAATTTAAATTCAATCATACTTATCATCTCTATGCTTGACCTTTGACCAATAAATTTATCACAAAAAAAAGATTTATGACACTAAGTATAATCAACCTGTCTTTTTCAGCTATCTGTCCCTGTTTTTTTTTCTGTATTTGGTATAAATTCCGGTTTTTACCATATCAATGAAATAAATTTAAACTCAAAACATTAACTTACCTTAATACTATTTTTATACACATAATTTGCATTTGAAAGATCTCCTCGTTTTTTCTCTGACATTTCACTGAATAATATAATTTGTTCAAACAAAAAAACACGTCTTTCTTTAAATTTTGGTTGTGACTGTCCCTGTGATATTTCCGATACTAATAATGTATCCTGAAGTAACAGTTTTCCTTGAGCAGTTATCTTTCCCTGAAAGTGAAATTAACAGTAAGTTTTTCCCTTCATCTAAATGTTTCCCTATAGCCATGGAGATATTTGATACACTCAAACTGTTGTTGGGATCAATATGTTTCAAGGGACAAAAATGGCTTCTCAATAGTCAGAAAGACAAGATTTTTTGAACTATTGTTTGAAAATTTGGGCTGTTAAATTGCAGTGCTGCACTATTCTATAAAATTCTGACATGTTTGATTTACTCCCACTATTTGGTCACACTTCAGATGTCAAATTTCCCAACAAGATTCTTCCAGACAACCCGTTATCATTCAACAACATGGTGTTTTGATGAATAATTTTTATAGCTCAAAGTATTGGTTCTGAGTGCTCTTCTCTTATTCATACTCTCCATGTCTCTACATCTTGTCTTATTGCTTTGCTTTTCCTTAGTTATGAATTGTCCTTTCAATACCTTTTTTTATATTAATTCTGATTAATTAATTGTTGTTTGCTTTATGTTCAATGGCAAAGAAAAGCTGTATATTCATTCATGGACATTTTTTTCTGATTTAATTCTGTTTTGATATTTTCTACATCCTATTTGATCTGGTAATGCAATTGCCTACACCATTCCCCATATTAGGGCTATTCCAGAAAAAAATGCAGGGGGGCAGTTGGAAGGCACTTTAAATTAAAAATACATGGGTGATGGTTATCAGAGGTGTAATGCACTATGATTCTCAATTACAATTGTCTGGGTGGCGGGTGCTGAAACAAACTGTCTTCCAACCCGCAACCCCCATACATTGTTTTCTGTAATAGCGCTTAGCAATTTCCTAGTAAATTGAAAAAAAAAAATCACACTTATTTTACTCTGGATTTATTTATCATTCGTGGGTAACAATATTCATGGACTCAGGAAAAAATTACTTCATTTCGTTGGTTTTGTTTTCAGAAATTCTACAATAATCCTATAGGAAATCTGTATTTTGATGAACGTTTGAATTCGTGGCTCACCTCTACCCACAAAATCTCAGAAAAATGAATACCCCATGAATAACAATGATCCACAGTAACACAACAACTTTTTTCTTTTCTTTATCCCTCCAGGATTGCATGTCTCTTATAAATTATGGTATCATGTTGTAAAATAATCCATACAGCTAAAATGGTTATAATTTTTACTTCAAGGACCTTGGCTACTGTCCAGAATTGTTATATGTAACATGCATTTATGTGTAAAAATATTAAACTTGTATGTACTATTGCATTGTTTTTCTTTATGTTTAATTTTCCCATAAAGCAATCTTTTCATAGAAAAATTGAAATGCTAACCTGTACTGTGGTGAGATTTTATCTTTCGTTTTAAATAATATCAATTTCTTTCAAGCTATTTGCATTTTAACTCAATATTCTAATTATTAACTAATACATATTTCTTTCAAATTAACTTTTTTTTCAATGTTCAGACATGTTAAAACTAGAAAGTTGTCTTGTAACATTAACAATATCAATTTGACTGCACCAGTGAGGTATTTTGATAATTAATGTGTCTCTTCAGTAATGCTCTAGGGCAAATTATTTGAAAATCACATCGAAAAATTTGGTGTTATCTAACATAATTTTCCTTAGACTAGACAGAGACAATACTTATATAAGGAATTTTTTTTCTCAGACATTTGGAGTGATTCCCTGATATCAGTGTATTTTATTAAATTGTCCTAATTGTCTTCATTTATTTGTTTGCTATGTGTTAATGTTTCTCTAGCTTACATCAAATCCTTGCAGTCGTCCAACTTGCATCATATCATTGGCCGCCTTTGGAACGACACACATGACCTCTAATGCCTTCTTCAAGCTCTTGGTGTCCTCTCCTGCACGATCAGTATATTTCTGTATATCCTAAAATTCAGAGAAAAGTTATGTACTAAGTAATTGACAGAAATTGTACTAAATCTGTAATTTCTTGAGGCAATGCACTGTAGAAAGCACTAAAACATTCACTCAATTATATATTTCATTTTCCAGCAATTTATTCTAGTTCAGGACCATTCGTTAGATGCATTTTTATATTTTTACTTCCTTAGCTTGCTGATGCCATGATAAGAAAATGATCTTAAACCAGATTTTTTACTTTCTTTATGTTGTTTGATTGCTGTATAACTGATATATGCCCACATTTCCTTTTTATTCATACAGAATTAATCTTCAGAGAATTTTTTGCTCATTAGTTTGGCATAAATCTGGCTGTTGGTTTTCACTTTTGAATTGTTTTACATTTTGTCATGCTGGAATTTTCAGTTTACACTAGGGTGTGGTATCTGCTCATTGTTGAAGGCCGTACAGTACCCTAGTTTTTTACATCCTTGTTCTTTATTTTCTGGTGGATAATTTTCCCATTGGCAATCATACCACATCTTTTTATATTGGTATTTGTTTTGAAGTGATTTTTACTCTGTTTCTGAATGCCTCATGTACTAGTCCAATTAGACAGGTATAAATGAAGTAAAGAATACTCTATACTGGTTTCATCAAAGGGGAGTAGGAAAATCTGTCTTAATGGGGAAAAAAAATAATAATTCAAGATCTCCTTCACTTGTTCAAATAAAATAACAGTTGTTAATTCTACCTACCCTGAGTAGAAGTTGATACTTCATGATCCTCTGTACTGGCTTTATCAGAAGGTCTGGCAACATTAACCGATGACCTAATTTCTGTCGAATGTCTTCGAACACTTCTATATATTCAGCGACAATATACTCCGATTTGGGTTTATTTTCACAATATTTAACATACATATGTAAACGACGCTCCTGTAAATATATAAAAATTCAGTTTTTTTTTAAGCTAGATAAAAGTTCCTGTTTTCTATCAAATTATTTTGCAAAGATTGTGCATGCAGTTTATAGAACTTAAAAACGATTGTCTGCATCGTGATCTTAAGAAATCACTGAAGCTGGAGGTCTTATTTACGATTAGGATTATCTTTCCCGTTTTTATTTTTCACGGTGTTTTTAGAATTAAATTAGCACTGTCTTTTATTAACAGCATTTTGTTATTTTTTTCTGTTTTCAACTGATTTTTCTGTCCCAATTATAACTGTTAAAGAGTATTATCACTACTAACTTTGAGCATCTGAAACTTTGTCATTGGAAAACTACTTGAATATTAAGCGCATGTCTCTTAATAGGAGTTCCAAAACACATATCCCTCAAAAGGAAATACAGAGACTTTTTCCAAAATCATCACATTAAAAGGATCAACATTGAGTATTTAGGTATATTCAAAATGAAAAAAAAACATGCATTCAATTACTGTTTGAAGGTCATTCAGAAAATAGGGACTGAATTGAAAATGACACAATGACACATTGAAAGTTATCATCAGTTTCATATTTCTTCTGGCAGAAATAAAGCCTATAAATACATTCTTAAACATGACTTCCCTCATCCAGCTTTTCAACTTTTCATAGTCTTCTGGTTAAAAAATATCGTCTGAAATATTTCATTCTATTTACTTTTTATTTTTTCAGTATAATAAGCTTTACTTTCATTTTTTCAGTGTCATAAGATTTATTTTCATTTTTTCAGTATCATAAGCTTAACGTTCATTTTTTCAGTATCATAAGCTTTACTTACATATCGTGTAAACAAACTACCAAGCTGATCAACATCCCATACAGCCTTTTCTACCTCAGGTGAAAAGTTCCTACAACAAAAGATCCAAGTGAATATAGGGATATCATAGAAATCTTTTGTTTAATAAATTACAGCTAACAAATGAACTAAACGTAGTTCAATTCAGATCAGAAATCGCAGAGATCCAGTTCAATTGGTCCTGATGAAAATCCTTTGTAAATCTATGATAAATGAGCATGGTCTTTGGTTTTCTCATTGAAAACGTTTTATGTTTAGTCATGTCAAGGTCCTTTTTTTATCAGCTTATAAGGTTTTGCTCATTGTTGAAAGCTGTTCAGGTGACCTTTTCTTCCACTTCATTTGGTCTCTGGTGTATATTTTTCTCATAGGCAACCAACCCACATCTCCTTATTTTCATATATTCCAGATTTTCATAAATCAGAAGTACCTACACTGAAATATCTCACTTGTATCCGAGAAACTACAAAAAAACTTAAGGTTGAATATATAATAACTGATCCGTGAAAAAAGGTCAAGGTCAAATGAACCCTTCCAGACAGACATGTACACCTCACAATGCTCAGTAATGGACCTAACCCCTGAAAACTAATTAAAATGTCTGCTATTCTTGTCAATACCCTAAAATGAATTAATACTCAAGGCAGAAATGATTTATTCCTATATGGATTGAGGAAATACAGGGTAACCTTTAAAAGCAATCAACCCTAAAAATACATAAATATCTTACTCTCGATGCCAGTCATATATCTGGTGTATATTTCCAAATACTATTTTATCTTTTCCTTGCAGGTCTTCAGGCATCCCATGCTCCTTCAGGTATTCCATATAACCCTGGAATTACACAATATCAGTCAGAAAATTGTGTTCTTCAAATTTGAATCTATAAACAAAGTATCAACTTTCTGTGAAATAGCGTGCAAAATATACGGAACATGTATAACAGACAAGGTGAGATCAACTTGAGAGTTTACTAAATGTATGAAAATATCAGAGTATATTTTTTGTTCTTTGTTAGGGTACCATTTTTGGCATTTTACAGGTAAGAAAACCTTTTGTGAAGTTCGTCATTTATTTCACTATTTCCACATATTTTTTTAAATACATGTAAATTTATCTTTGAAATAATTAAAATGCTGCCAATGTTAACTTTTAAATAGTGAGCAAACCTTTTTTCTGTCAATAGATGATAGCATTACAAGATTACTTTACCAATCATTTTGTGTACCACTTAACCTTATTGAAAATATATATATATATATCTTCAAAATCATTGAAAATTGTTATTGCTATCTTTACTTTTTAAACATTTCTTTAAAATCTGCTGCAATTTTAATGTAAATCAGTTTAAATTAAAAAAAATTGTCCCTCTCTTCTGAATTGTTGTAAATGAGGATGAGAATCTAAAAGGTAATGTTATGTCGTCCCAGACCTCCTCGAACATTTACTATTCATACTCCCATATTAAATTTACCTCTACAATCAGTCCTAAATCTTTTACATAGTCTTTTTCTGTATCCAGTAATTCTTGCATCACATAACTGAAATGTACAAAATAAACTTTAAAAGCAAGGATTTAAGTAATAATGCTGCTAAATTTTTCTAACTTTATATGTTTCAGATGTATCTTCTTACTGAAGTTATTTCAATAATTGTTTTCTATTTTAATTGTTCATTTAACAACAATAAGTGGTAAATAGTTATACAAATACACTAAACAATTTGAATATAACAACTCTTGTAAACTAATATGATTTTTTTTTTTTTTGAACATTCTAAATTTTTGGGTTTAGAATATATCTTGTAAGAATGTAGTTTGTGTTGCTTTAAAATGTTTTTTCCTTAAATTATTATATAGTATTGTATATTTATATCAATTCTAATCAGATAATATTTAAGATAATGTAACTAATATCAGTAGAAAACAATTCATGTTTGTGATATCAAATCTCTTAAAATGCATTAAAAAGGAATTAATGCATTTCTGACCATCAATGTGTAATTTTATTGTTGCAATTTTTTCTACAAATGCAGTTTATATTTAAACATTTAACCAAATATGAACTATCATGTCAACAATTCTAGTGCCAGCCCATACAACAATGACAGAGAGGTCAAACTAGCTGGTTTTTAAAGTTGATCTACCCCATTAAGACTGCAGTAGGTCTGATATTGATATATCACTAATTAAACAAATTTTCCCATTAGGTGACCAAAAAAAAGTACTATTTGAATCTAAGTCTAATCAGTTCCATAAATGGTAAACTACATGCAATAATAAAGTATGCTACTTGTCAAGGCTTGTAGCTTTCTTTATGATCTCAAAAATTCTTTTATCAGTAAAGAGGGGTGGACAAGGGGGTCCCCGATTCCCACTTCCCTACCCCTAAACTCCCACTTTCCTTCCCCCTTGCTCCCAAACAAAAATCTGTCCAAATTTTTCTCTAAATCAGTTTCTATTGTTACTCCCCTCTTCACAGTTCCCGCCCACTGACTCCCACTTAAACCTGCCCCCTGATTCCCATGTTCCCTAACCCCTGTCCACCCCCTCAGTAAAACTGACAAATAAGATGATAAACACATCCACAATGTTTTAGCAATGAAAATTTCGATCTTTTAAAGGAAATTTTTGTTTCATTTATTATGTGCATCTTTTTTTTACCTTCTTTTCTCTCTATACATTTCTTTTTTCTCTTCTGTCAGCTCCGATGCCTGATCATCAGCAGTTTCACCCCCAGATTCTGAGGACAGTTGATGGTCAAATGGATTGTCATGGTTAGGGTCCTGTAAAGAAGGAAACAAAATCATATATTTTGCAATAAAATACTTCTTACATCTATGCAGTTGTTTGTTCTTTGTCATTTTTGGGGTTTTTTTTCCATGGTTTTGTTGTTTTCTGTTCCATTTATGAGTTTAGTGTCCCTTTATTAAACACAAACTTGACTGATATTAAAATTCCAATTCAAGACATACATGAGCATCAATAAAAGACTTTATTTTCGGTATCTTTCAAATATGAATAAAAATAAAAATGATAATGATAATGTCAAAGTCTCAATTTTTATGGCATTCAATGTTAATTCATTGATTTTAAGATGCACACATTTTGTGCATTGATGAAAAATTGAATTTTCACAGATATTTGATTTCCTGGTTTTAACAACTTTTGCAAAGTAAAGTCAACCTTACGTATAAATGTCACTCAAGGGAAGGCTAGTAAATGCCCTTTATAGACAAGTGTCCTTTATAAAGAGGTTGTTTAAGGAACCACTTTACATGCAATTTGTCAAAACTGGTTGTTTTAAACAGGTTTTCAGTCCATTTTGCCACTGAAAAGGGTACCTGCTGCCAGTTTTAGGCAGCGCCTACTATAGCAGCTGTCATGTAAAATTAGATCTGGGATTTTGATCATATTTTTAATCTATTAATTGCTTTCATTCGAGATGACATTTTTCACATAGCGGAATATAGGATGTTTCCAAAAAACCACTACTGTCCTACCTTTTATTGTGATTGCACTCTATAATCCTGGCCTACACATTATCCTACACAATTTACAATGGTGGAATCCGACATTGTTTTCACCAGAAATGTTGCCTTGGAGTTTCAGGATCAGTTTATTTACATATTTTTTGGACCACTCAAACTTTTCATCAAATGCAAGGTAAGTCTAGAGAAATATTCTGGTGCAGACAATAGGCTACTGTAAAGTGCAGGAAACTGTATCACATCAATGACACAAATTTTACAGGAGAGTGACAAATGTTATGAAATTAAGGATCCTGCATAGAAACCAAGATGGTGGATTTACAATGGAAAACATTAAGGATAATGTGAAGGTCAGGATTATACAGTGCAATCACAATAAAAGGTAGGACTGTAGTGTTTTTTTGGAAACATCTTTGGTTCCGCTATATAAGAAAGACAATTCTATAGGAAAATACATGGGGGGGAATCTAAACTGCCTGTTGTAAGCAGGTATCTTTTTTATGGGGGTGTCAGTTAGACCAGGTTCGACTGTAGTACTTTTTTGAACCCATGAAAGTAAACAATTTATAACCCACATTATAACTGCAGTTTTTAACATGATAAAATAGGTAAATGATGCCCCTCTTCAATATCAGATTGCTCTTATCTTTATAATGATTTACATACCCCAACTCTCTGGTTGACCATATCTTCAAGATCTTTTACTGCATTCTCTGTATCTGGTTGTATTGTCAATGTTGATGCCTGCAAAAATAGAAAAAAAAGATAAAGATTACATTTTAACAAACTGCTAACGATTAGGAGAAAGTTAGAAACTTCAGAGTAATTAAAAAAATCATATTTTGAAAAAGGAAAGACAACATCATTGTATGAAACAAAACAAGATCCACACCCATTAAAATTTAAACAAAAGCCACTATAATCCTTCTACATACTGGAAGTTAACTTAGGTATTCAAAAGGGTCAAAGGATAAATTTATTCCTGTTGGATCAAGGAATTCTACTAGGAAACATTGATATTACATCACTGACTGATATCAATTTTCCTGCCAGAATTTGCATGGTTAAATTAAGATATGACATTGTATTAAATCAGTTATGTAGATAAAACTGTCAGTTAAATATTGCTGACTCAAATTTCATGAAAATGACATGGCCATGATGGGTGTTACAAATTTTAAATTCCAAGAATCTTTCAGTATTACTTGAAATACATGGAATTCAAATTTACCTTTAAGTGTTTCCCCAGCATGTATATAAATTCCTAATTTAAGGACTTTCATAATTAGTAATCTTGTATCCAAGCAGTTTCATGAAGTACTTCTCAGCAATATACCTTAAGATTATTCTCAAGAAATGGAATAAAATATTGTATTTTTGGTGTTACAATGTGTATTTCAGAAATGTAAGTGTACTCAGCACTTCCTCTTTGTGTAACCCCTGCTCAATTATTCAAATGAAAATCCTGCCTTTATTCAATCTCAATGGAAACACAGTATTTTTAAAAACTGCAATACAACTTGTAATTTCTGGCAGTACCAAAATGTATATCAGTAGTATAAATGTACTCAATACGTCCTCTTTGTGAAACCCCTGCTCAATTATTCAAATGAAAATCATGCCTTTATTCAATCTCAATGGAGAAGCAGACTGTGCATTGATCTACAGAATCCCTACAAATAAGCTGCTGTTATATATTTTTGATGTACATGGTGTAAAAAATCTAACATAACTAATGTGTAAAAATCAATACGATATTTACAGAACGTTGTCGTGTTGCAATCAATATCGGCTGTCTATTGTTACAGAAGTCAACAGTTCTTACTCAAAAATATCAGATCTAACTGCTTTGGTGTAAGATTGAAGAAAATTAAGAGGAAAAAAAAAAAAAGGGTGGGGGGGTTATTGTAACATTTGAAAGATGAAATTTGTTTAACCTTTTTTATCATTGAAATCTATGTAATTACAAACAATATAACCTGTCTTGTGTTACAGAAAACAAACCGTTGGTGTTAAATGGAGAAAGTCTAGAGGAACATCTAGTTATTAACATGATCCAGAATTACAAAATTTAATAAAATATTTCGGTTTTAATCTCCTCAAAACATTGGAAAACTCAATTTAAGGATTTCATAGTCAAAAGGCTGCATTTCATTATCATGTGCAAAAAATGAACATCAACTGTTTACTGTAAAAGATGCCCACAATTCTTATTCAACAATATCACAATCTGGCAATGGAGAAAAGGGGGGAGATTTTGCCAACTAAATTTACAAAAGTTTCTTATTCAAAATCTATACCAATTGTCAATTTGGCTCATCCCTACTTATACCTTAAAGCAAATCTGCTTAAAAAAAGTATTTAAAAGATGATAGATGATGAAAGATTTTTTTTCCTAAATTTACCTTTAAAAGTGACTCATGTCAAAGGTCAACAGAACTTGTGCCTCTTGTTAAATTTGATATATGTTTTAAAAAGGACACCCAATCATAACACTTTATAAAGTTATGAACTTTGACCCCTAAATCAATTATAACATGTAATATTATCTTCAAATCCTGATTACCACATGTATGTACATATCATCTGTGATAATTATATGACAACCAAGCTAAGGCTTAGTCTATAAGTATAATTCTATATTAACAGATAACCACTTTCAAGTCGCTTGCACTACAAGCAATCTTTTATGCTGTATATTTTCATGTAGCTGTGTTCTTTTAGACTGTAATACTTCTTGATGTTTAATTTCTAATTTTCTTGAGTACTGTTCTCTTATCATTGATACCAGTAACTCAAAACCGATCCAGATATAGGGACCATCAGAGATTCGGGTGGGCATCGAACACAATTTAAGTTATATTCCAACATCTTTAACTATGAACTTGAAAAAGTCAATATGTCACAGTCATAACAAAATTCTGTTGACCTTTTACACTTAAAAAGGGACAAAAACTTACAAAAGTCCATGTTGATCTATTGTAAAACCATAAGAAAATTTTAAAGTCCATATTGACTGACTGTAAAAATTTAAGTATATTGAACAAAGTCCATGTTGAAATAATAGCCTGTTATAAGTATATTCTCATAGGTCGACGCTGACTGACTGTAAAATCTTCAGTAAACTGCAGAGTCAATGTCGACCGACTGTAAAATCATCAGTAAATTGTAATGTCCATGTTGATTGGGTGTAACAAAGATTGGGATGTGACATGAAAACAAACCACAAGTAATAAACAATGATATGCATTCATAGACAAAGTAGTTTTACAGAGTAATAGCTGGATGTTATCCAAGGCACAGGGTTTAAAAACAATGGCATTCTTTCAAAGTTAGGAGGTGATGCTACATTAAGAAATTCCATTAGAATATGTAGAGCAACCACAGTTTGACAGGTCTTACAATGTCACATTTCTGGATTATGAGTCTTTTCACATATAATTATAGGAGAGAGAGAGAGAGAGAGAGAGAGAGAGAGAGAGAGAGAGAGAGCAAACCTCATTGTGAGTTCAAGATGACCCCTAGCACCAGTTTGAGTAGAAAGTTGTTAATGCTACCATGGACACAGATGTTGAGGTAATATCAACATGTCCTGAGTTCAAAATTTTAATGAAATCCTGGAAAAGGTACAGCCATAATGGAGGGTGTGGATGGGGGTTTACAGAATAGAGAATAATGGACCAAAAAAAGTAAAGAATATATAATAATGAGGTGCTACAATATAAAGAATAGAGCAAAATGGGAAAAAAGTATAAAAAATAGAGAAAATTGGGAAAAAAGTATAAAGAATAGAGAAAAATGGCCTAAAAAATTAAAGAATACAGAAATGAAAGACCCCCCATCCAGACCCTCATAAAGGTCCTTACACCAACACCAAGTAGGAAAATAGAGATGACAGTTTCAGCATGATCTGATTCAAAGACAGTTAACAATGTTTATATTTTTCCATTAACTGAAATTCCACTGGAAATTTTGGCATTCTGAGAGAATGGATGAAAAAAATAATAATTTTTTTGAAAGACATTTGCATCATTTTGTATTCAGCTATAAATTCTGAAATCAACAATCTTATTTAAATATGTGACAATTTCAGGACAAAATCTGTATTCTTTAAGGTTTTTTTCCAAGAGTCTGAGTGTACAGTAAGTGTTAAAGTTCATCATAAAATCAGTTTGTCTACAAATATATTTCCTACTTCTTGATAACAAATGACAACTTCCTACTTGGCTAAACATTAAACATAAAACAATTTAAACAATTTAGGTAATTTGAAATGGACTTAAAAAAGAGGTTTTTAAATATTTTCAAAAACCTATTAAAAATGTGTTTGTAAAATATGTAATCATACTGAACCCAATACTGATTAATGAAATAGATACAATTCGTTTTTTATGTAACTTATGAAAAAATATAGAAAGCAATATTTACCTGAAAGCGTCTAATTAATTCACCTACCACTGACATAGTTGTTATTATTTATCAACAATAATTTTCTGTGTAATATCATAACCTATTTATTATGTCCATGGTATGAGGTCTATAAATAAGTCATAACTTAATCTTCAAAAGGGCCCATTAAGGGCAAAAAAAATAACAATACACAATTTTGAAATTTTACAAATTTTTTTTTTTCCTTATATTTTCTAACTACTATGTATCCATCTATATAAAAAAAATAGAGGTAAAATTTTGAAAAGTATTTTGTGCTATTACTCTGAACCCCAAGAGAACCTCAATAGTTTATAATGATAACCTACGTGTAATTTCCGATGAAAGATAGGGCTTATTTGCAACAAAACAGTAACTTCTTTATAACTTGGGTCAAACAATACTCACTGAGTGATTGTGACAACCGATTACTAGCACTTATCTTAAGGAAGACAGACTAAACAATAAAGAGAAAAAAGGGGGAGGCTTTCCTTTAAGGAAGGAAGGAAGGCAAACTATAACCAGACAGACAAAACTGGGGGAAGGTTTCCTTTTTAACAAAAAAAAATTAAACTTATAATACATAGAAATCTTGTGAAAAAAGAAGCCAATTTCCTGGAGGGTAAAATGTTCTAAAAAACCTAGACCATAGAAGTGACTATAGAGAGATGAGAGAAATGGTAATCCTTGGGTGGATGAGATTATACACATGTTTTTATAAAGAAGCATCGACAAACAAGTAACAGAAGTTACAGCAATATATGTAAACAATCTTCAAAAATGGACAAACATTTACACCTTATAGCACCACTGGGCGTTAAGCAACCAACAATCAATCAATCAATTTATCACCTTATAGGAATCCTAGATTGATGAATTGAAAGGAGTTCCCTCAAGACAAATAAAAGTAACTTTACTTGAGCTCTTTATTTTCCTCCCCTCTTCTGGGACTGATTTTGTGTTTCTACTAAGCAGACATTCTAATGCCATGGAATAAATATTTTTACCTTAACTTTAAGGTCACCTTAACTTTAAATATGTGTGATTTGGTAGCTTGGTGAATAATAAGAAATGAGAGGAATGTGTCTCTCACATCAATTTTAATGTGAAATGTCATCGTGTTTTCCTTGTTCTTAGCTCTAAGTTACAGCCAAATCAAACTGATTCTTTCTGCTTAGATTTTCTCCCTCAAGTTTATTACAAATAATTTTTTCAAAATTTATTATCAGCATGATGAGATAAAAGTTTTCTACTTATCAAATTTAAAAATTGGAACAAGAATTTAACTTGTCAAGAGTTATTGTAAATATAACTATTTTGACATAATTTAGAGTTACGTTTATCATATATTTTTGCGACCCTGTCTTATTATAACTGGTTTCAAGGTAGGAAGAATACTACAAATTTGCTAGCCCACTTAAATTTAATTTGTTGTGGCCTAATAATATGTCATGGGCCTCTTCATTTATAATCTATATTGTTATAATGGTACTATCTATTTCTGATCACACTTGTGGTGTTTAATTTGAAACTTTATTTTTTTTCTCCTTTTATGAACTTGAAATGGATCTCATTAAAATTTAAGATCACAATATGACAAAATTAAATAGGGATAATTCTATCTTTTAAACTTGTTTGTTTATAAATGGATTTTTCAAAGTGTCATATTTTATTAATAAACCTATAGTTATTATCTTATTATTGAAAAGAAACTGCAATCTATATATAATTATCTTTTAATTATCTTTTAGGTTCAAATTATGGGTTACACTTTAGAAATCTGACTAACTTTATCTGAAAAGGCTTATTTACAATGTTTAGGGAAAAAGTAAATAAATACCAGATAAAACGTAACTAATTGAACATAATGATCAACAAATAGGTAGTAGAAGATATTTTTTTGGGGGGTAGGGAAGGGGATGGGGGGTTTAAACATTTTAAACCCTTAGCCAAAATTTCATCTTAGACTAAATATTGATAAAAGTTTTTATTTCCCTTCCTAAAAATTAGCACTTCTTTATGAGAATAGATCTTCTATAATATTATTTCAGATACAGAAGTCCAATTATTAAAAGACCTAAAATACCAAGTACTGTCTTTTTATCAGAGGCCTAATAAGTTACATGGTCATGATTTAGCAAAAGCTCAAGCAGTCATTATGGTTAGTTAAATCAACAAACATGATCCATCACTAATGTGAAAACAAAATATGTCTTCTAAATGACCAGTTAAATCTGCAAACAATAGCCAACATCTTCGTTGAAAACTAATGTTTTTTTAATGGAACATCCCATGTTACAATACTTTAAATAATCCATCTGTGACATGTAGTGTTTTGTAGTTTAATGGAACATCCCATGTTACAATACTTTAAATAGTCCATCAGTGACATGTAGTGTTTTGTAGTTTAATGGAACATCCCATGTTACAATACTTTAAATAGTCCATCAGTGACATGTAGTGTTTTGTAGTTTAATGGAACATCCCATGTTACAATACTTTAAATAGCCCATCAGTGACATGTAGTGTTTTGTAGTTTAATGGAACATCCCATGTTACAATACTTTAAATAGCCCATCAGTGACATGTAGTGTTTTGTAGTTTAAAGGAACATCCCATGTTACAATACTTTAAATAGTCCATCAGTGACATGTAGTGTTTTGTAGTTTAATGGAACATCCCATGTTACAATACTTTAAATAGTCCATCAGTGACATGAAGTGTTTTGTAGACTGTTGATTGGCTGTTCAATCTTTTTTAAAAAATTTTACCATGATTTTTTTCTGTCTCTCTTCACCTTACTAGTTCTCTCTTTCGTATCTTCTGAATTTTCAAAGTAAAACATAGGTTAGGGGGGAGGGTTGGGCACCCACTAACATGTTTGACCCCGCCACATTCTGTATGTACCTGTCCCAAGTCAGGAGCTTGTAATTCAGTGGTTGTCGTTTGTTGCTGTGTTACATATTTCTTTTTTCGTTCATTATTTTGTACATGAATTAGGCCGTTGGTTTTTCTCGTTTGAATTGATTTACATTTGTCATTTCAGGGCCTTTTATAGCTGACTATGCGGTATGGGCTTTGCTCATTGTTGAAGGCCGTACGGTGACCTATAGTTGTTAATTTCTGTGTCATTTGGTCTCTTGTGGAGAGTTGTCTCATTAACAATCATACCACATCTTCTTTTTTATAATCTAACAACACTTACCACTTTTTTAGATAAGTCTTCTGAGGAATCTTCTTTGGAAGCTTTAAATGTGCGGTCCTGGATTTTCATTGGTGGGGGAACTGTTGGCAAATCTACATCATCTGCATCATCCTCAGCCACTTCTAATGGCTTCTTTTGTGCTACCACGGTAACTTGATTGTGCTGGGGCTGTACATGAGCTTCTTGTTGATCCTGAAAAAAAAAATTAAACTCATTAGTTCTGATATTCTAATGAAACTTACCATTAATAGCAGAATGTGGATTCAAATGCAGGCACTTTTTAAATCACATTCACTTCTCTGAAATTATTATACTAATCAATGTTAATTTTGAAACTTATGATATGCTTCCGTCGTCTTTTTTTCTTGTCAAGCCATTTTGTTAGGCAATGAATGATAGAACTAGTTAAAAGTCTACACTCATTTTATATATAACCTTATTGATAACTACGAGTATTACTTCAAGATCATATGTAGTAATTTCAACAACAAATAACTAAGAATATTAGGTTAAAATATAAAGCTAGAGTCAATCTACCCTTTGTGGATTTAAAGCAATAAGCACCTTTGCTCACTAAGAGAAAACTTCAAAAATATGCATGATACAAAATGCAAAAGGACATTTCATATAAATAATATATGAATAAGGTTAGTTCAAAAAGTCTAAGAAGAGGACAGGAGATACATACAAAATAACATCATCTCCCAACAAAATGTAGAAACCCCATTTTACTATGTGAAAATGACCATAATACAAGGAATTATTTGAATCTGGAATAATTTTGAATTCTGGAAAAGAGATGTATGATGAAAACTAACCCAATTTAGGAGGGTAAGCCATGCATGGCTAAGGGTGGTTAGTTAGTTCATACTGAAATATCAGTGAAAGTAAAATTAAGCTTAGCCATGCATGGCTAACCTATTTAGTTGGGTTAGTTTTAATCATACATTTCTAATCAAATTTAAAGAATTCAAAATTATTCCAGATTCAAAAAATTCCTCGTTATAATGAAAATTATAACCAGAGGTTCCTTATTATTCAGCAATATGTAAGATTATGCTAAGTTAAGTTAATCCTCATTTGGTGTTTAATTTCACTCTCAACACCGAAAAGCCTTGTTCTCTTATGGAAAATGCTTAAAAACAAATATTTAATGGGATCATATCACAGCATTCAGCTGTCAGAAAGAATAGGTCATTGTTGGTAAGTGTGGAAAGATGATTAGCCTATATAAATGAATATCCTATTTGAAACAGTAGATATGTGTTAAGAATCTGTTACACTGGGAAACCCATAAAACTACAAAAATAGGTGAATTTCGTTTGTTAGGAAATAAAATATGGTATTCTGTTTAAAATCATCAGCTGTACAAAACACAGAGGTTAGATATATATATATGGGACACAACTTCAGAAAAACCAAACATTGGAAGCAATAAAAACAAACAAGCCTTGAAAAAAATTATAAAACCATGTTGCATATATCTTTTGGAAGTTTCAGTAAAAGACACTTTAAACTGAAAGTGTGACATGGGATATATATACCATAATCTGTCAATTATGCCATGAAAACGAAAAATAATTTAGGCAGGCAAAAGCACTAAATTTGTGTACTTCAAACAAAAAGAAGTCACAAAAAGGGTTAAACTGCAGTTTTCCTACCTCTTTTGTAACCATATATTTGTCTTTTTTATGCCAGCACGGACATACTATGCCAAGTAAATGCAGCATCTCAGAATCAATGTCATTCAGATGTTTTGAAACATTATCCCTTTAACTCTTTGAATTGTCATGACAACAAAAAGTCTTCAAAATGTTTAAAGTCACCATCAATTTCTTTTAAATATAGTTCATGATGTTCCAGAAAATTTCCTAAATATAATAGATGCTTTTTATGATGATTTAAAACAAACAGAACTGCACAAATCTCTCAACTTTTAAATTACATCTATTTCAATGCAAATGATTTTGAAAATTCATTTCAAATTTGTCAAAAATATGTCCACTTTTAGGTACCAGTATAGGTATTCATTACCAGATCTAAAAATAATTTATAACTCCAATGTCTATGCATAAACTATAAGAAATTTCAAAATTCAAGTTAAGAATGCCACACAATCTCTCTACTTCTGTGAAAATAACATATATCCATTATCTATTAAGTAACTTCTCCATATCATGGATGGAGGCTTCAATCACAAGATGCACAAAATTTTGGAACTTCAATCAAACCCAGTGAATTAAAACCAAATTTGTGAACAATTACACTGACATATTCCTGGTAAAGATATCAACACTACATTTTAAATAAATGCATTTACAATGAAAGTATTGTTCTCTACATATATTAGAAAATTCTTTGCAATTATTTCACTATTCAACTTTGAGCAATTGACAACTTATAAACAACCACTGCACTTTCACAAAACATTCCCTAGTTTAAATTTCCAATGGCAAATTTCTATGTTGGCGATTAACGTCAACCACAATTTTAACTACATGTACATTATGTTGACCATTACACATACATGTACTACAAGTAGTTATAAGTCAATTTAGGTCATATCCTTTTAGGTCGACAGTATCTACTCCTAATATGCATTCCAGCTTTATCAGTGTACATCCAACTTAAAGTGTTAGGCCAGATATGTTTACTGAAAGTACTTCATCCTCAATTAGAGATGTTAAAACATAAACTTCACTTGAAACAACTTCCCTTGTAAAAAATTGTGAAGTTTAAAATGTAAGTTAAAGATTAACTTGTATCATTACATATTTATTTTTTTTTCCTTTCAAACACTTTCTTCACATCCATATCTCAATAAAATTAAAACACTTTTGAAACATAAAATAAAACCTATATTTTCCTTCAAAAATTTAATTAATCTTGTTTTTAAAATTTGTGTTCCATAGATCCATAGTATAATACAAATACTATATATGCACAATTCTTAAAATCACAAAGCATGGTATGTTTATATTTAAAAAAATCTTTCATATTTTAAATATTCCTATGTGTTCAATGAACCCTTTTTCACACAAACTTAATTTAAATTACATATTAATATAATTATAGTAATTCATATAAAGTCACTGCAGTTTGGATATCTGCCACTCAATTATATTTCAGATTTAACTGTGCATTAAAACCCATGTCAAAATAGGTTATGTCTTTCTGTTCAATATTCCTATATCAAATATTTCCCAGTATTACTATGGCTAGTCTTCAAAATGAATTTTAAAAACAAAGTCCATTAGTTGCAGGGACCAACAATTACAGAACATTTAGTCAAAATACAAAGTATAAGTTGAACACATGAATGTATTTTACCACAGTCCAAAGTACAAGCTACAGTTAATTATGCTAGTTATGATTTGTCACAGAAATATGACAACTATCTAGGTGATATTAATTATGACTAATTATCAGTCTATTTAGTGATGGATGACTGGCATGAAAAAAAATAAACAACTTCTCGTTAGAAACTGTTTACTCTTTATGTCTCTTTTACATTCAGCTTTCTTTTTTCTATATTTCTTTCATAGAATAATCTTTCATTGAATTATAAATGTTTCCCGTTTTTCATTTATGTTATAAATTTTTTTATGATCCTCATAATTTTTGTTGTTAATAACTGAAGTGGGCCTTCAAATAATTTTTTTTTTACTGTTTCTGGTTCAAAAATTTAGCATTTACATATGAATAGAAGTTTTTATGGCAAAAAAATCATGAGACAGATATGAAAATCTAGGAACATCTTTATTTTGGGATCCTCAAACTAATTTGTGCCAAGAGTGCCAAAAGACCCTAAATTTGCAAGAGATCTTCATGGATTTGTGCAGTTATAACCCATAGGACCTCAAATCATCTATTTTTATATGATTTACAGCCACCAAATAATATGATCAGTATTTGTTTACTTATTGATTTTTCAAAATTTGTATTTTGTTTATTTCTACCTAAATTCAATATATCATAAAATCTCCACCTAAAAAAAAATAATTCCAGGTGAAGACATTACATATCTCCTTTAATTAATGCTAAGAACTCTGTCACACATTTAATACATCTGTATTAGTATAAGCATCTGGTGAATTTGCTGTTTAAAACAAGCAGGGAAAGACCCTATCAAACAAAACAAGAAAAAAAGTTAATTCATATAGAAAATAACAAGTAATTAGTTGTATTATTTCCTCCTCAAAGAGCAATTAGAGAAGATATTTATAGAAATGAACTAAATGATATTGAAAATCTAAATGATATATTGATTTTTTGATGGATGTGATTTCAGATTCTACTGGGTATCAGTTAATGGTTATAAATAACTAGAAGATATAAACCCAACAAATTCATAAATAGGATACCACATACTGGAATTAGGGGACAATTAAAGGAACAAAGCAAATTATAATTAACTTGGTCGGAATCTTTAGAGTTTAAAAGAGAGGTGAAAGATACCAACGGAATATTCAAACTCTTAAGTTGAAAACAAACTGACAATGCCATGGTAAAAATCAAAATCGACCAAAAGACAAACAACAGTAGACAAAACACAACACAGAAAACTAAAGACAGAAACCCCACCAAAATCCAGGTGGTGATCTCAGCTGCTCTGGAATGGTAGAGCCTGCTCTACATGGCAAATGTTCTACAGCAGCTCATTGAATATTTGTTCTGGGCAGCATTTTGAAATAACAACTTTCAGAAATTTCTTTGTAAAGATTTTATAATTAGAACCCCTATTTTTTTTTTCTTCCTTTATGGTAATTTTCTGTCACTCTATACAGGAACACTCATTTACTTATTAATACAGCCTCATTTTTCATGCCTGAACAATTTGCATTAGACCTTTTTAAGATATTGTGCAGATTTATCCTTTTCAACATATTATGCAGATATATCTGGGTGTTTTATAACTTGCTATGCGGTGGGGATTTCACTCATTGTTGAATGCCTACATAGTTGCTAAATAACTTCTTCATCATTTGGTGTTTGGTGAAAAGTTGTCTCATTGACAATCTATCCCATCTTCTTACCTTTTTATATATGTATATGTAGGGTTGGCCTGTTAAAAATTAAATATATTTGAAAAAAAAGAGAGTTTCCCCCTTTTATCTGGTGGATAATTGTCTCATTGAAAATCACATCTATCAGTTTCCACTGGACAAGCTTGTATACTATGTTGAAGTGAC